CGATTTCGTCACGAACAGTAGACGATTCCGGTAGGCCTGCTTTTTCTGCGAGTTCCGTGTTTGAAGAGTGTTTTTGAAGTTTTTGGGCCGACGCGGAATTCTTTTTCCGAGGAGATAGCGAATGCTGATCATTATTCCTCGCTAGTTTTCTCTGTGCATACTGCAGTTCTTTGCTTGTTAGTTCATATTGCAACTGTTCCAAACCCCGTAGTTGGGATCGGGATGTTTGCGCCACATTCTGCGGATCTTTGGACGATTGACGTGCCTCAATTGAAGGCGATTTTTTCCCTCCTAATATATAACGATAGAATAACATTCTAAAATCAAAACGGTGGCAGCGGTACACTAAATATAATCGATTTTACCACGAGATTACTTATTTCAGCATCTCTCATTATACCAAAGCCGCCACGCTGCAGAGAAACAAGAAATTTTCGTGTTCTCAATAATTGTAGTTTTTCTCAACTTCTATTATATAGGTTTAAACTTTTGTTCTTAACAATTTATCAAAAATGGTTTAAAGACGCTCTGCAAAACAATTTTATTTCATATTTCAATGCAAGGACGCATTAAACGAATGTTTAGTCCACCCGTTTTCGGTACATTTTCAAGTACAAGTTTAACTTATATCTTATCAATTAATATAACTTGCATGTTTTCTTTCAAAAGTTCCAATTGAAGTTTTTCGCCATATGCTTATAACCGACCGGCGTTTGCCCAGACGTTATTCCGCGGTGTTCTGGAGCCCGGTCACGTGTCACTACCCTACATGCGGTAGTGACGTAATCATCGCGGGATCTTTTGCACATGCAGTTAGTCTTTTGCGAACAACAGAAGCTACGCATCATGATTATAGGAAAAATGTATTCAATTCATTCTTACAGTAATTTATTTCGACTAACGTATATATATTAATGCCATCTTAATAGATATTCCAAAATATCCCTTCAAATACCTTTATATTTCAACAATTCAGCTCTCAGCTTATTTCCCATTTTAATCAACTGTTCGCGTTCTTTTGTTACTCCATTTTTCCTTTGAGCAGCTTGACGTAGTTTGGTGTGTAATCCTTTAGATGACGATACTACTCCCTTCATACCAGGGACTTCTGAAAAAAAAGGAAAACGTTTAAAATTCAAATCCTGACTAAATCATTCAGAATTTTATGAAGTGAATTTAGGGTTTGTTATGTGTTGATGAGAAATGTTGATGAGAGGTTTTCCAGCCGCAATCAATTTACTGTTTTGGAAAAGGTCGTAACTTACAAATTGTGAACGGGTTTGAATGAAATATAACTCCATAGACAGGCGTCATAGCTATATCACGCTATTTTAAGTGGATCAGAACAACAAGGGATATGCATTCTATATATGGTCTAACAACTGACAGTGGTTGGGTTACATCACAATCTATACGTTTGAATTAATTCAGTAGATTTAGAATGTTCTACGGCAGTCGTGATTTTTAAGATTCTAAACACAAATAAAGATAGTATTTCAAAAGCGTCAGACAGTACACTCACCTTTCTCTCGAAGGTCTTGTATAAACTGACTTTCTGGATTGTACGTATTCAAAGGTTTTCCGTGACTGGCAAGATCCAATTTTAATGCTGACAACTGCAGAAAATCATCTCCTGCCTGTCACACAATTCTTGACTAGATGTTGCTAATATTTCTACCTCGGGTAGTTTATCTGCGACAAACATTAACCCATACTTTCATAAACGATCTCTGCAGAAACTCAAATTTCTTTCTATAAACACCGAATACAAAAATTTCGGACATTACGCTCTCAAAACAGATAAATATCAAACGATTATCAGTAATTCTTCCGTATCCACACTATCGCCTGTAGGCTGTGTTACACTCACACTCATTGAGTGTGACATACAAATTTTGTCATCACCGATCACAGAGAAAGTTATTTCTTAATCGATACAAAGATTTAACGAAAAACACTGAAAATTAAGCTCTTATTCGAGTGGAAATACCGCCATGGAAATGTTATGACTCCCACTCAACAAGTTCGAGTGCGCGTTTAAAATACAATAGTTCCTCGCTAACTCGAACTCCCTAAGGAAAAGGAAAATTGTTCGAGTTACCGGGGGTTCGAGTTAACCGGAGTTGGTGTCATATTATGTTTATTATACACTGATTAACTTTTTATTATTTCGATAGTTTCCGGTCCAGCATATGGCTGTTACAAGTGATATCTTAGGTTAGCATTATAGCTGCTCGCTTGTTGCTCAGTGAATCACCCAGGATTTACTGACATTCCTGCCCTCCGGCTGATAACTAATCAAATCCTCTCTTAACTGCTTGCGGTTTTAAAAGCACATATAAATTTCGTTCGATCTTGCATTAACCAACAACACGGTAATGTACAATTGTAAGTGAGTTCACCGTTAAGCTTCAGACTGTGATACATTTACATGTTTAATTTGTTTTAATGTTATATACCTAAAGAATGTCTTTATTATATCCATTTTGCATCTGCGATCTAGTTATTTAATAATATCATTGAACTAACCTGGTTTCCTAATGATACAGCATCAATATTTCTCTCCAAACCCGTTTTGTAAAATTCGTCAGCCTGGCGTCTTTTTTGGGTTACCTGCAGCTTGAGACCAGAGTTCTGCTGCTTCAAAGCATTCATTTCTTCGTTGGCCTGACGATTCCCTGTTATCAACTGATAGTGAAGTTGATATGTTTAGTTGCTTCTGACGAACCTGAAAAAAGAAAGTGCGTTGATCATCAATGCTCGACACAGGTTTCTAAAATCCAGGAATGTAGCACTCGAAAACCAGCCCCATTTACACTATAGACTAAATTTATCGGCACGACATATGTTACTGCTAATAAATACACACCATAAAAATGCGAGAACATACATCACAAACATTCTCAGCGATGACGGATAAAAATACAAGTGCATTAAAACAGAAGTCTATAGCCATTTAGAGAAGAAGACTCACCTCTTCTGAAGAATGATGAAGTAAACATTGAAGATGAACGATAATTGCTTTACATTTTCCCAATTGAGGTATAAGTTTTAATTTCTCTTGGCGTAAACAGGGCGCCTATAAGATAGGGCGGCGAAACGCACGGATGGCGTGTTGAAACATGTGTGATGTGCGGACCCCCCATAAAGATTCGAAAAACTGTTTTCAAAATGGCGGCGGGTTACTTAGAAGACGAAGAACTTGAGATGATTATTAGTTTGGATGACACTGATCTGGAAACAGATGACACAAATTCGTCATTTCCAGTTGGAAATACTGTTAATTTCAATGTAAATGAGATAATTGCTGTTCTTGAAAGGGTTTCTTCGTGTTTTTTATACTCGTCCAAGTCCGCTGGTTACCAAGACAAGTTTGTAAACATGGTTCCGTTTTATGGTTGTCGTTTTCCAGAGAAAATTGTGAAAAAGGTTCAAAACATTATGCGACTATTTGCACGTGGAATCGATGTTAATGAACAAGAGAGTTATTTTCTAAATTTCCCAGCTTTAGGAGCTATGGCAAGGTTTTCAATTTTTTAATGGAAATTTTGTATTTTGAAAATTCGAAAACGTTGTTGTGACGCGGTCAAATGCTCCTGCAAGTAAGTTAGCATTTTCTTGTTTTGTTTTTAGCTTGGCTAGGTCGACATTGCCATGACGAAAGAAAAACATATCATATTTTCAATTCGGAACGTTATCTAAGTATATAATATAATTTAACGGGATTTTGTGTTGATATTTTCCGACCTCGCAGCCGTGAAAACAATTTTGTTGTAGAAAGTTTGAATACGTTCACTTCCACAAATGATTGCAAAAAAGGTTCAAAACGTTGTGTAGTGAAATTTGCTACAAATGTTCGTCAATATTCTGGACACCAAATCTTGAAGTATAATGCTTTTGGGGATTTTCCTCACTGAGAAAAATCAAAATATGTATGATACATCTAAAAACAGACCAAGTAGCCGTGCGTGTCCGTAGTTTTAATTTGACAAATTCGGTCAGTTAACTTTGAAGAAACAATTTTAAGACACAATATTAATAGAAAGAGTTATAAATTACACAGGAGAAATCTTATTTTAGATGTCGCGTTAATAGCTTCAGAGATTGAGTGGTTTTAATCGAGCTTGTTAAAAACCAAGTAAATATTGTTTCGCTCGAGAATTTTTCGCCGACCGCCCCGTCCCAGTCCTAAAATCGCATCACACATGTTTCAACACGCCATCCGTGCGTTTCGCCGCCCTATCTTATAGACGCCCTGGCGTAAACTACCTAAAGACGTGCAAGAATATATATTGTGAAATAGGCAATTATATTATATACCTTATCTGAAATTCTAGTCGGTTAATACAGAATGCCTTTCGTGCGATTCCCACAATTTAAGTTACCATGGTCAATAGTACAATGCGATTGGAATATCAGCTCTTACATTAATCCTTGATACTCCAGTTGTGTCTTGCAAAAAAATACAGGCATTTTTTTCAAATTTTCACTCGGGTAAATTCTCAGGGCTAATCAACATGCTATAGTGTTTTTTTAATGACCCACAAAATTACGTAACTTGAAAGTCAAATATTTGACTTAACGGAAATATTTGCAGTAAAGATAGTGAACAGTTATGTAACTCGGTGTAATAAATCAGCATATCGAGGCAATGTATGTAGGGGTTGTTTTTATACTACCCGCGTGCGGAGCGAAAATCCGCAGAAATTATTCAGGACATTGTAGGTTAAAATTTGACATTAGACACAGAAAACTAATTCAACGTTAAACTATAACTATTCAGATAACACAATGAAAACTGCTGGGTATGCGGGGGATGAGGTAATGTTTCAATTTAATGATGCTATGTTTAAGCTTTGTAACTTCTTGAACTGCTGTTGTATGGTTGAACTTTGTTATCTACCACTTACCGATTGTGCTGTTCAGCTGTGCCACCAGACCTCTTACATGAACATTATCCTTACTTCCATCTAAAACGTAAGTTGGCTCAGTATTTTCAGTTTAGCATTTGTATTAGCCATGGATTGGGTCAGTTCGCGGTTTCTCGCCTTCACTTCTCAAATTTCTTTTTTCAGACTTGTCACATATTCTGAAATGTTTAGTAAAGAAATACCAGATTAATTCCATTCACACTGATCTTTGTTACGATCACTATAACGATTAGTCATTCTAAAAATATGTCTTTCAAAATACAGAAGCTATATATGTACAGTAGAACGGGGATTGCCTAATAAGCCCCGGGGGTCAAACCCAGGCTACAGTAGAGTAGCTATATTAAACATAAGGTTTTAAGAAAAAATTAAAATCATCCATGCATAGAAAACAATCTGGCTTTATATTTTCGAAATTGTTTTGTTATGAAATATTTTCCCGCTTTATTATCATTTAATTACCTTCCGTAATGGGTACGCCATCTCTTGCATTAGTAATCGATCCAGTGGTACGTTGCGTCAACTGTTTCGTCAAATCCTCCATGTCCTCTCTCATTTGATGAATAACAGACGCAAATTTTCGTTCTGAACTGGAAGTTCTTTATTATTCATATTCGCTGCTGGTGTGCCAACATCTTCGACTGGTGAAACATGCATGACTGATAAAATCTAGAGAAATGATAAAATCTTGCGAAGCAATGGGAGAGGTATCGATGTTTAAGAATTAAAAAACGAGTCGCGTGCCTTTATGGTGTAATAATGCACGATGTGCATTATTACACCATAAAGGCACGCGACAAGCTTTTTTAATTCTTTTATAATATAAGAAGAAATTATAGGGCAACAACAAAATTTATTTATTTGATCAATAATGAAATTCTTCTTACATGTTATTAAAGATGTTGCTTAGCAACAAAAACTTCAAAAGCCAGAAGCGTGCATTATGGCCCAGTGAACTCTAATAAGACTGGAACGATAACTCAACAATAAAGACTAGTCATTGGATGAAGCCGATTTGAATATAATTTGCTGATTAAGGCGGCAGCCGAGCGAGCAAATCAAGCCTTCAAAAGAACTGGGGAGAGTGAAAATTCCGTAAAAATCGTATTTTTTGGCAAAAAATTGCGAGAAAAGTGCAATTTTTATTTGACCACTTCAACTTTAAACAACGAATTTACCCTTTTTGGATAGACCTAAGTAATCCGCATCATCTTACTGTAAAAACCGGCGAGGTACCAGCTTTGTACTTAAATATTTAAAGAATTTGAACGGGCCGAAAAAAAACTTCGCCTTCAACTCGCAAAAAAAATAGGTTTGCACCTTTTCACGTTCATAAAACTTGTTTTTTAGTAAAATCTAAGTGTCAATGCTTGTTTTAAGCTTTTATTCATGATCAGATGAGAAGGATTTGTGTATAAAAACCGGCGTTGTTTTGGTGGTGTAATTTCAACTCTTGGCCTTCATGGCGGCCATCAGTGCTGGCTTCAAAGATGGCGGCCAAGTTATCGTTCCAGTCTTTTTAGAGTTCACTGTTATGGCCTCACAATGCACGCGCGGTAGCCAATCAAATTGCTCGTTATATCATACTTATATTATAAAAAGGTTTCAGATTCGCGAGCGCAGGGTAGGTCCTCAATTACATCAGTACAAACTGAAAATAATTTTGGAATGTGTCAAGTGTTTCGGCAATGAAGAAAAATCGCGTTATTACTCCGGCGTCAGCGACGGAGTTGAAAATTCGCCTCGGTTTTGTTTTGTTTTTGTTTCTTTTTTTTATTTTTTTTTCGTCGTGGCAAGTCTGAAATGGCGCGAAATATACTAGTGTTTAAAATGTGTATGTGATTGCATTTATCTATGTCCCAGTCTTGTCTCCCAAGAGTTGTGGTGCACAGCTTTGGCTAATTTTCCGATGCGCGATTCGATTTCGCTCGCATGATACAGCAATTCCTCCAAGAGGAACAAATAAACCGTTCTTTTCATGCTTTTCGATTAAGTTTAGATTGAATTGGGGTAAGAATATATTTAATACATGTAGATTCTGGTCCTATTTTAGTAATATCGCTGCTATTTCGCCGTTTAACAAGATGATGTGGTCGTGTATGGGCGCTTTGACTCGTCATAGTTTGCACAGGATTGAAGATTTAATTAATATAACTATACAAGCGCGAATTCCAAAGGCAAAGTGTTAAGTGTAAGACAAAGCGAATGTATCATGCCGTTTATTTACATTTTTGAACAATTGAACTTCTATACTTTTTAAAGTACGATGTGCTTCTGAATTTTGCGATCGAACAACATTTAGGTTCGCAAGGCATTTAAATGAATATGATTTATATGAACTGTATTGTTTATGTTCAGAAGCTTTATATTGAAGACTGGCACGTGCACGGCACGCCGGAGTTAACGCCAGAACAGGCGTCTTGTTTCAGTGAAAATTACATGCGCGTTAAACTTCGAGTAATATAATCAGTAAGGTTTCGAAAATACTAAGATATTTTCGTTTGATATTTCCGTCCGCATCTAAAGTTTATACATCTTGCGACAGTTACCTCGTTAAGCACATCAATTGGCTTTTAAGTATAGCCACTACGAGAGGAGCATGATTCGACTTGCAATCTATTTTCAACAACTTTATTACGGCGAATAACGGAGACTGAATTTGGAATCGATGAGTTTCCTGTTACCACTGCATACAATCATTAGTTGAATTACGAATTTACATAAAGAGACTCTATATACATAGTTGTGGTATAGAAGAACAATCTCAAAAGATGTCTCATTTGGCACCAATGTTTTAAATCATTTTTAAAATTTCTCGAGGATTTTACACCCCGTCACACCTTGTACAAAATTTTGTTCAATTTACATCATTTCCTCTATTTGTGTTAATCTGCCCAGCTGGAAGAGCTAGGGCCCCATATACGCCGTATAAAAACCGAACGCTAAGCGTTTACAATCTACCTACAATCAAGGTGTAAAACTCACCTGATATTTGGGAAGGCACGGTTAGTCCATGAAGCTTGAGGATAGAAACTGATTCATCTCTTTGTGTCTTCAAAGTATGGATAACACTATCCTTGTGAAGCAGTTCACGTTTCTGTTGTTACACCAACGATAACGCCTGATGTGAAAAAATACAGAAGAGTTCTATCAACCTTAATGTTGACGTTGAAGTCCCTGATGATCAGTTTAGTAACATTATATCGCTTCATTTGGACCTTGTAGGGCTGAAACTTTAACGGGATTCCAAATTGAAAAAGGGTAGGGTAGAGGCAATGGAAAGGGGTGTAAAATTTTATTTTTTACATATTCATATATATATTCACCTCTTCTTTGCCTTGTGTTAAATTCTTAACTAGTTCTCCTTGTTTATCATATGTACCCAGTTCTTTCTTCCTATTCATATCTGCGCTGCCAATCTAACTCTAGCTGAGCCCTAGAACGTTCCAACGACGACTCTCTTTCCAAAGATAAAGACAACTCTTTCTGCCTCCTAAAGAAAAAAGTTGGATCAAGACCTGAATTTACATCTTTAATAGAAATCTTCAATACGATACACGACTAGTAATATCAATACAAAATAGGATTCGTAAATTGCGGGTATGTTTTTTTTAAGATTTTCGATCAAACTTTTTCACTTTTTCTTTACCTTAAAAAATCGTTTGTTATCAATCCTTATTTATACTGTAGTACAATATTAATGAACACATATTTGCACTTCAGCTCAGCGAAGGAGGTGTTTTAGACGGATGGATTGAATGGCTTCAAATAATGGCCAGGTTTATCTGACCAGATATGTTTAAACCCCATGAAAAATCACCTCATACGGTGAGCCTGCAATTATTGAGGAACGTTTTACGATAGGTCGGAATTTAAAGACAATCGAGAAAACAAAGTTATATTCAACGTTTATTCGAACCTCTCAAAATTATTTTTTCTCTGCGCGAGTTCAGATCTCATATTGGCATCCTGTTGATGCAACGTTTCCAGTTCAACATCCTTTGCTACAGTTAATCTGGAATATTCCTGGTTCTGTTAGTCCATCTTGCTCTTTAAGTTTGCGATTGATTGATTTAGCCTGTGTAATAAAAAAAAATCACTTGTCACCTGTAAAAAGTCGTTCCTCTCGAATTGTTAAAAAGTTGTCGAATTTCAACATCAACTTGTTCAAAAGCACTATTCTTGAACGGATGAATTCATGAAAGTCATAATAAGGCCTTCCTACAGCCCAGTATTATAAGTTAAATATGGTTTCTCGGTTCAAAAGCGGATATATTCTGAGTTTTGAAATAGACATGCCCTGTGGCAGAACTTAGGTTTGTGAAAATAAACTAGAACAGCTCACATTTGGATATTGGACATATTGAGAATTAAAAATATTTTCAAAAAAAGCTACTCGTAGACACTAGACACGAGTAATGAACCTTTGGAGGTTAACAATCAAAATAAATAATGCATTTCGACTTACGCCAGATCCGCCAATGAACATATATTGGTACAGAAATCAGAAATGCAGAATGTGAATGATTTAGGTAAGAACCCATTTCAATATACATGGTCTTGTCCCCCGTCCCTCCCCCCCTGAGGAATTTCATAAAGCTTACGTATGTATTGTGACATCATTTTCCTTCAGTTTGTCCACAAGTTTCCATTCCCTTTGACGATGTTCCTGTTCTTTAGCTTCGAGTTGGTTTTGTAATTTGCGAATATTCTGTTGAAGTTGTCTTTCTTCCTCAGTGAAACCCTGGAATGAACAATCAGAGGTTTAAATAATGTTAAAGCATCATTGGGATGATCGATATATAGCTAATATACCAGGAGTGTATATACGGCTGTACATATTGTATTGTACAACCCAATTGTTGCGTCCAATAACTAGACACTCAAAAAACTACCACAAGAATTAATGTTTGGTATCTTGTTCTACGTGAACATTTCTTTGTTGGGGTTTTGTCCATAATGAAGCGACTTGCAAATCGCTGTAACCACAATGTTAAGGCCCTGTTACACTGCGCAATTTTTCTTGCAACTTGCAGTGCAATTCTACTTTTGAGAGATGTATGTAAATTTGGGAATAACAAAACTTTTGTGTTCATACACTTCACGCACTTTTCTTCTTGCAGACTAATAATTTAAATATCTTAGCAGTGCAATTGCATTGCAAGTTGCAAGAAAAATTGCACCGTGTAACATGGCCTTTAGTACTAATTACCAGTGAATTCGAATTATGGCAGTCTGAAAGGGATGTCTAAATAGAAATCCATTCTGCAGAATTTCATAGATTTTATTTATCAACAAACCAAACTTAGATGCAATTCTCATGCAACATGCAATGATCATAGTTAACTGGTTTGAGTTATTCGAAAAACAGGTCATTTGATCTGAAGGTTATGTTCATCTAAATAATTGTTAATGAACAGGCATATTGAGGTTTTATGGTCTTAGGCAATGGAAAAATTTTCTGAAAAATTTCACAATCTAGAGAACAAAGGTCCTGTGTTTCTTGCCATTTGCCGAGGAAAAGTATGGGTTCTACTGCATTTTTCCATCGTATTAACACCAAAGTCTTTAAACACAGACATTTAAGACAGCTTGTCAGGTTTAAAAGCTGTAAGTTAATCTGCTGAAAATGTGTCAGATTTGGTGGAAACAGGTATTAATTGTCCAGAGTCAACAAATATAATCCTTGATTCTAATTAAAATCCTCTAGTATAAGTAAACAGCAAAAAGTCATTTTCATATTTCAAGAAAAAAAAACTCATTTTAATGAGTTCAAATTTTTTTGAGAGAATTATAAGAAATTTTTCTTACTTTTTTTCTTAAGAAAATTTTCTTAAAATAAGAAAAGTTGCACGCAAATAATTTCTCAGTTTAAGAAAATTTTCTTGAAATTAGTCCAAAATTTCTTATAGAATGTTTATAATGAGAAAAAGAAATTTTCTTAAGAAATTTTCTTAATATAAGATATATTTCCAAGAAAATATTTTTCTTATTATAAGATAAGTTAATTCTCAAGAAACCCTAGAAACTCTGACATGATATTTTGTTACATGTATGAATGTAATGTAAATTTACTAAAATATTCATGAGTCATAATATAGAAAACACAGCAGACATTAATACATGAGAATTATAGGTCCTACATGATTATATAGAAATACAGAGAAATGATCATATATAATATTGCACCTAGGCTTTGAAGGTTTTGTATTTGTCCAGTGCTTATTTGACATGTTTTTAAATATCAATTATTGCAGTACAGATCAATTATTGCAAAAGGATTTTTGTGGTCCTTAAAATCAGATGAGACATCATCAGATAAAGTTGAGAGTAAATAATTTAAAAATTGGAGTGAAGTAAATCCTAAGTTCACACTTAAAATAAAACTTTGCAATCGTGTTAGGAATTGAGTACATCAAACAAAAAATACTAGTAAATAATAATTTAGCTACTATGGGGAATTTTAAGCTATTCTTTAGCTATCCCCTGCTATACCGGCATCTTTAAGAAAACTACTTTAAGACTATTATCAAATATGCCCATCCTTCAGCCCATTCTACACGGCTTTTCTACCTCCCTATGATAGTGTAAATTCCAATCAATTCACCATGTAAATGCATGTAATTGATTCAAACAATATATAGATAGAGGTCTTATCCAATGAAATCAAATTGTGTTAAATCCAAAAACTGTCCCTAACAAGATATGGATGGATAAATGTATCTGAAGGCAAAAAAGAGAGCTTTGTGATAATTTTAATGATATAGGCAGACTCTGATGCACAATTTATACCCTTTGGAACAGTCCCAACCCTGCTGTGGAGAAGCACTGTTACATTAACCCCTCTCGATTTAGTATCAATCTGAAAAATCAAAATATAACTCAACTATTTATAATATCCTACATTTCAAACAAAGACATTAGAAACACTGCCATATGCTGCTCCTTCGTTATATATATATCACAACATTGGACTATTCTATTTTGCTCCTCTGAGGTATTCTAGCCAGGCCATAATTGCTGGAATTCTAAGGTATTGTTTAGCTATCCCTACTATAGCCAACTATTTAACTATATAAACAGATAATAACATGGAAAATCATAGCGCAAATCATTGAACGATGAAAAAAGACCTAACTGCAATTCTTGATCTATAATAGGGTCGAATAAAGGCTAACGAAGGCTAACAAATAAAGGCTTATACGTTGTATATAATAACACACTCGATCAGCATGTTGGCATATGACATCATGAAACATCAACTCACCTTATGAGATACCACAAATTTGCGCCGATATAGTGTATATTTTTTCACATCCTAAACGTCCATATCTTTATCGGTAATATATAAAGTAAATAACAAGATAGAAATCCATATTCGCCTTAAAAAAACAATATTTCTTTAATATGCATTAACAGCGTTATAGGTTGTTTCGCTTAGTATTCAAATATCCCTCGTGGTCTACGCTCGAAAAGCATAATGGGATAAATAGAAGAATCAGCTCTGCGTCAGGCTGGACCATACAATTATCAGTATTAAACCTTTGAATGCTTTGAATTTTCTCACGCCGGATTTCTGTAAATGAAAACAGCATTTTGCAAACATTATATTATGACTTTCTTCTATTTTAATGGTTCTTGACCGAACATGTCACGCCATGCTTGTATAAGGTGCAAGTACGAAAAGCTTCATTGTTGACTAGGGCATTTTTACTCATACTCCTAATTAGATAAATTAATAAAATCATCTAATGATTGGAACGAAAAACAGTAAAATATGAACCATATTAACTTTTTGAAATCAACAAACTTCAACAATAAGGAACATTTGAAACACAAGTAATTTTAAATTTTAAAGTTTACTTTCAGCTGAAATTCTTCAAATTTAATGCGAAGAGCATTTTCTTAGTTTAAGAATATATATATATATATATATATATATATATATATATATATATATATATATATATATATATATATATATATATATATACAGTAGGAGGCAAAAGTTTGAGTCCAGTGACTGTATTTCTTTGTTTCAGCAGCATATATTAATATTCTACAGAAAACCTTACCGATAAGTGAACTAGAAAAAAGTAAACAAGTAAACAGAAAAATACATGCTGTACAACAACTATGAGATGTTATGATATTCATTTTTACGTATTTTAATGTGCAAACATGCATTTACATGTCATTGCTTAGTTCCCTCTTTTTTGCTCTTGAAATGACCTTTATTCTTGCTCGCATAGATTCCATAGGTTTTTTAATGTCACACGTTCAATACCTTGCCAGCATTCGTTGACCACTTGCCTCAAGTCAGCCTGGCTGCGGGTCTGTGCCTCGCCCTCTTCCGGTTAAAACGGTTCTACAAGTGCTCCATAGGTTTTAGATCTGGAATATGAGGTGGAAAGCCATGACAACGAGATCACCAGAATGAGTTTGCTTCTAAACGATTTCTGGCACATAGAAGATGTGCATGTGCTTAGGGTGATTATCATGTAGTTAGACGTGCGATCATCTTTGTACCAGATGAAATTCCATGTCCTTGAAGAATTGGATGATACTTTTCTTTAATTAGGATCCTATTATATCTTTCAATATTGCCAAACCGAGCATGACCAAAGCAGCTAAAAGTTTGCTTGAGTAGGATTTAGTTTCTTCGAACCTCTCCAAGGTTAGTTGCATACCACCTTTTTAAATTCTCACTTCTTCTGCGATCTTACGAGGAAAGAATCCTTCAATACTTAATGGAACTATTTGTCCTTGTGCACCATCACTTTGCCCTTTTTCCTACCCATCTTGGGCAGTGTAAAGGAATGAGAACTTTATTTTGTTATAATTTAGATCATTAGGACCAAAACAGTGTGCAATTAATATAGTTTACAGTACTGAAACACTAGCACGCATGTCTTAACTCCAATACGCTGCCAGGATTTAATACTGGAATTCTACAACGACTGGACTCAAACTTTTGCCTCCTACTGTATATATATGGGTAAAAGTTATGGTGTTCATGAGGTTTAGAAAACACAAACACATCCTGATAACAGATCGCAAAAAGAATTGATACGAGCCTCGGATGTTTTACAAGAAACTCGTGTGTTTCTTGACGTTTAGGTCAGCGAAGGTGTCGATTTTAGTGATATCAACGGTCGTACTGTCGTCATAACTGGACTACCATATCCACTGGCTTTTGATTCAAAGGTGGTTCCAATTAACCACCTAGCTAATGCTGTTTTAATATTCCCAAAAGTAAATTGGGAAACGAGTATCTTTTGAATATCTTTCATCCGATAATAGAAATACGCTTGGATTTCTGGTTACTCAAGTTTGATTTATTAATAATATGGCTTTTCAAGATCCTCTACTCTGATTGGTTGGTCGTAAAACACATATCCGTCGGTCAATAATCAGTTATTAGTACTCCAACAATGGTAAAAATCCATTATTATCTCTAGACATCTTCTCCAAAGTTCAAAAACATTTTTTTGTTTTCCCTCGCATTTCAGGTGGAATTGAAAAAACAATTCCTAGATGAGGTGGTAAACAAAAGAGAATTTAAGGTTGGTTATAAAGTGGTTCTAATCATTATAATTTTTTTAAGAAATAAACGAAACGAGGAATATGTGGCAATTCGGGACTCCAAAGTTAATTCACCACTTGCACCGTGGGCGCCACGTGTACTTGACACGTGATCAAAAATGTAAACAATCGCAAAAGTTCGGACTACGGGTCACGCAAACTCTCACGCGATAGTATAGAAAACATTAGTACATTGCACGCAAAAGTTCGGACTATGGTCGCAACTAAAAGATGCGCTTGGGGAACATGTAAAAATGATTCAAGATACCCGCACCTGCATAAGAGAAATAAAAACAATGACCCAATTAAATTTTATCATTTTCCTGGTATTGTACGATCGGCAGAGAGGAGAAGAAAATGGATAATCGCGTGTCACCGAGGTGATAATTTCGTTCAGTGCACGAAAGACAGCTACATTTGTAGTTTACATTTTATCGGTACCAATGGACCAACGAAGGAAAACCCAGATCCTGTGTCCGCCGTCTCGAGCAATGAAAAGGTAATAATATGCATTAAATAAAATTATTAAGTAATGATTTTCGACATGCATTAATGAACGCATCCCAACTAAAAATCGTGTTTTGTTAAGGCTAAACGATTTGAAAGGAAACGACGTAGCTCTACCAAGAGAAAACAACGCGCTTTTGAGAAGGAGGTTGCTGAGGCACTTTTGAATTTGTCGTCGAGCACAGCGAGATCTTCGGAAGAATTATCTCTTGCCGAAAGTTTATTAAATTTGAGCGTGGAAAAAGTCGACGCGATTGATGCAAATGAAGACACTATTAATAGTGAACTTAATGAACTTAATGACAAACAAAGAACAAATAACAAAGAACTTAATGCATTTAACTCGGGTTGTTCTCCGCCGAAAAGTACAGTGAAACATAACAGTACATGTACACAGGTTTGTTGTACACTGCGTACATGCAATTTAAATACACGTATTAATTTCTCAGCACTCAGATGGATTTTATTTTACATGGATTACAATTTATGTCAAAGTGACTCAATACTCGCACATATTTTTGTTATGTAGACTGATATTGATTTGACCGACATTTCGCTGTACAAAGACTCTGAACTGAAAAATATTAAGCGGTTACGAAGGCAGTTGTTTATGGCGTTGGTAGATGATCCAAAAAATACTTTCCACTACACAGGTATGTTTGTATATATAATCCTTTGAATAAATAATTATATATATTGCATTACATTATACTTCATTATTTTATTTATATTCAAGGTTTAACAAATAAGTCAATATAATTACTTCTCGGTCACTTGAAGTCAAAGGCAAAGAAGCTAAAGTTGTGGAAAGGGCGAAAGAGTGTTAAACTGAAAAAATCTAAGATGGATAAAAAGCATGTGAAGGTCAGTAAATACCAGTTTGGTATGTTTTGCTTGGTCTTCTTGTTAATATTTGACCATTTTATTTATCTATAGCAAAAAGTTATACAAACAACCCTGAGTATTAAAGAACAGTTTGTGATGACTTTGGTGAGGTTAAAGCGAAGTCCAACATTACTTATGCTGGCCAACAATTTCGGAATATCTGATTTTCAGACCTTAATATAAGGTTTTCAGACCTTATCCAAATCTTCGAGCTGTAATTGATTGTACTGAATTCTACATTGAAAAACCTTCCAATCCATCAAGCCAACGTAGAACATATAGTGGATACAAGTCAGCAAATACTTTCAAGCTGTTGGTTTCCCTCTCTCCGATCTGTCATTTTAATTTTGTTTCAGAATTATATAGTGGGTCAATCAGTGACAAATCTATAGTGCAAAGAAGTGGTTTTCTTAATGCTTTGGAAGCTAATGACGTTGTCATGGCAGACAAAGGTTTTAACATTCAGGACATCCTCGCCCTTCACCATGTATACTTGTTGGCTCCTCCAATCATGGCAAAGAACAAAATATCTGAACAAGCAGTGACTTTAACCCGTCGAATTGCTCGAGCGAGGGTTCATGTGGAGAGGATGATAAGAAAGCTAAAACTTTTTAGAATTTTAAGAAGCCCAATTCCACTTACTATAAAGCCTTACATAAATTCTATTGCTAAGGTGTGTGCCTATCTGGTCAATCTTCAACCGTCAATTATCAAAGACACAGATTGAAGAAATGAGGAATCTTTTTGTTTTATATGTACATAGAAATCAGTTATATTTTGTATTTACATTTTGGATCTCAAAAATTATGATTTTCCAAATTTAGTGTGGAGTAAAAACTGCATATCCCATTGCCTTTTAATTTGTCTCCTGTATTCTTCAGCGTATTCACAAGTAAACCATTGATGATTTTCATTGACATAATGATTTGGGTTACTTTCATATATGTCTAAATCCTAGTGAAAAAGAATAATTATGTATTATATATATATATATACATATATATATATATAATATTATATATATATATATATATATATATATATATATATATATAATATATATATATATATGATTCATTTTTATACTCAAATGTTTGCTCACCATTAAAAAATGCTTTAGGAACAATGCATTATATATCCCACAACTGTTACTGTCAATCTGTTGCCTTGGAACCTATTATATAAAAAATTAAGCTGGAAGTGAGATGTGTGGAATAACATAAATATCAGAATGCATACATAATTTTACCTTCAGTACATGATGTGATAGTTGCATGTGTTTTTTTGGAATATTTTTGACAGTGCAGAGGTGATCCAGGTACCTAATTAAAATACTATTCAATGAGGACAACTAATAATTCATATAAATTCTTTATCAAATTGTTAATAAAAAAAGCATTTACCTGACTACATACTGAAATTCGGTTTGCCTAATAGACTTGTCCCATGTGAGTGAATCCATGATAATAATGTGCCTAAGAATTTTGCAATACTTACAATTATATGCTATATTCATAACATTTATTGTAAGCATAAATACAATGTCATACCATGGTGTCAATACTTTGAGTAACTAATGAAGGCTGTAATGAAAAAAGTGTAAAATGGTGAATTATATTTCTGTAAAAGAGAAGTGTGTACATTTTGCATGCTCATTAAATGTATACCTTCGCACAACAGGAATCACAACATAATCCTTTTCCAGATGATCTTTTGTTAAATATTTTTCAGCAGCCACCATTCTTGTTTTCCTATACATAAATAAATACAATAAATATTTTAATGGCACAGTATTTTGTATTTTAGATTAATTAATTACTGTCTTACCTGTCAGAAGCTAGGCCACCGTCTTGTTCCCCACACAAAATGGAATAAAACAGGCAGTCAATTACAGGAAAATGGCATAACTGTTCACTATATGCAAGCATAATTATAAATTGTTATTGCATGTACATGACACAGTATACATATATACTTGCAGGAATACCTACTTTAACAATGCAGTTGCAATAACATCATTGATCATCCTTCCAGGGGTTAATGAAAATAGATCATGCTCTTTGATTTCAACATCATTAAGTTTAATGGAGGAATTTGCAATTGGTTCAGAATCATCATCAATTATATAAATGGATCCATCTTGCCCTGTAATCATAGATTTATTGTTGATAAATTTCAAGGTGTGAACAAAAAGAGAAGCAAGATAAAGGTATACAACTTATATCATTAGTCACAAATGAGAAATGTTACCTTTATCTTCACAAGAACCTGCACACGCTTTGGCAGTCTCCGCTTCAGATTTTGAGTGATCTGAAATGGATGAAAATTAAGGAATTTCAATATTCTACAAGAACTTTGTTATGTAGAACTATATTCTTTATTGGAAAGAAGTAATAATTAAAGCATAAGTTCCAAAATTATATGTAATTACCTTCCTCAGTAAAATGTTCAACTTCTAATATCAGCAAAGGTGCAACCTGCCCTATCCAAAACTCCTCCAATTGCAAAATTACATCATTCATGAACTTAGCATCATATGGCACTGTTGCACATTGAATTCCTTTTGTTGTCCACACAACAAAATCACAGGATAACAAGCCAATGACAAACATCTGCATCTGGACTTGATAATAATACTTGCAGCTTGTTTGCAAACATAATTTACCATTGACAATAACACCTCCAATTTCTTTTGAGAGAAATGCAGCCTTGGGATCTTTATCCTTATGCGACCATGGACACTTATATTCAACAGCTACATTGGGGCAACCAGTTATGCACCCACAACTTCTAATGTCATCAAGACTTGCTCCCATGAAAGGTTTTTTAGCTGATATCATGAAGCCACAATGTTGAAGTTGGACATTATGATGCAAATGGCTTTGTACATTCTTGTATGCATTTCTTGCATTTGCTTCATTGTTTAATCCCCATTCCCTAGGATTATTGATGTCCTTGTGCATTTTTTCCCTTGGTACACTAGCTGAAACATTTACAGTCTGTTTTGCCAGTTTACAAAAACCATCAAACTTTCCTTCTCTAATACTGTTTTGCCTGGTGCAATAGTTTTTGCATTTAAATGCCGACAGGAACCCTTGTTTGTGAATGTACCAGTCCTCAGATTGCCATTGCTCAATAGTGGATTCATTTATATTTTTGATTTCCTCATCACTCAATTTCAAATATGCAAGTAGATCATTTGGACTTAGGGATCTGTGTAAATGGAGTAACTTGATAATTTTTTGTGCCATTATACCCAAAGATGGTTTATTCTGCTGGTCAGACAGTGGTGCTTTGGTACAAGCAGGTGAAGTTGGTTTGCAAGGTTCATCTGTTAATAAATATAATTTATTCAGCAGTGGGAAGAGGGGTGATCCAGGATTCAATTCTTTCATTCTCGACGTAAATCGTGCAATTTCCTCGTTGTCTACGGGTTTCTGAATTTGCCTTGGATCAAAATCTTTATTTTGGAGCCACTGGTATGGTCTTTTCTTTGCTTTAACTGCAGGTGCAATCCTATCCTTCGTAATATTTAACTCCTTCACAGGACAAGGCTCTGTGTTCACGCGAGGTTTTCTTGTCCATTTACAAGGTCCGCTTGTCACGCTATCCTCCTCACGGGTGTTCAACAAATCCTCGAGCGAATACATTGCAGCGGCTATATGTTTGCACCCACCATCCCTGCCTCCTTTACATGTACAAAACGCATCTATAACACTACCACGATTTGGTCCACGACCTTCTAAAATAAACCACAGTTCGTAAAACCTTTTGCCGTCGTCAGTTGTTGATTTCATGCTTGGCTGCACTTTACCAACGTACACATGAACTCCACAATCTTGTAAAGTTGTTGCTTGTAACGAATGGACATAACCGTTTACAAACAGTCTGTAATCATCGTATGACTTGTATGAAGCAAGTCCTTGCTTATCATATACGGTGGAATGATATATTAAATGATTAAATATATCGTACAATCCAAATGGGGGTGACTGGACGAAGTTGTTCTCTGTTTTCATGGTAAACGGGTCGTGTTGTACTGACTGTACACTGTTTTATTTATCAACTTCAAATCGTTTTACAAACGTAACTCGACTGCAAAATCACAATCTAACAACATGTTCGCTCTCTTACAATCCCATACTCCAAAAGGAGAATCGTCCCGATAATGTTCCGATCTATTCCGATCTAACAAATAACACAACGTCTATATAATACATATATATATATAACATCTCTCCCCACCAACAATAATAGTCCGACCCGTTAAATGTCATAGTCTTTCAAATAAGTAGGCATTCGGGTTGTTCGTCGTGGTCTCTGCGCTTGCTCGGCGTTCTTGTTCGGCGTCTCTTGTTGTTTTTGTTCCCCCTGCAACGTATCATTACCCGCATTTCTATTCTCCGTCTCTCCCTCACTCTCGCCTGACGCGTCGTCCTCATCTTCGTTGTCTGCAAGTGCGTCGGTCTGAATCTTCCGGAAGTAAGACGCGTCCCTCGTAACCGTCCAGCTTCCGTTAATCTCCTGTGCAGTAATTCTCGAGCCTTGAACCTCCGTGATTCTCAAAGGGGTAGGATTGAACGTGGTTGTCAACTTATTGGCTTTCGTCTGCTTCACGATAACAGTGTCTCCTACGCGAAGTTTGTGCGGTGAAAGCCCGTTTCTCATCTTGCCTTTGTATTCCTGGTCTCGTGTCCGATCTACAACCTGGTCGATCGGTGTCATAAGTGGCAGTACTGTCCGCATTTCTCTCCCGCCATGCATTGCAGCATGTGGGCTGACGTTGGTCGCGCTGTGCGGGGTGGATCGGTACATCTGTAAAAATCTTTGGGATGCATCTCTCAGGGGAGTCCCTTCCAGGGTTGCTGTTTGCAGAGCTTCCTTCATGCTCCGATTGAAGCGTTCAACTGTCCCATTCGCTCTGGGCCACTCAGGGGTAATGTGATGATGGTGGTATCCGCTGCTTTGGGCGAACTGTTCCATTTCTCTTGATTGGAACGGTGATCCGTTGTCCGACTGACACACTGCTGGAACACCTTTGTTGGTGAATATTCTCTGCATGGCTGCGATTGTGGTGTTTGCATTAGGCGCTTTTCGAAACCATGCCATCTCGGGCCATCGACTGTAGCGATCGATCATGATGAATATGTACTCCCCATTGGGATATGGGCCTTGGAAGTCCATTTCCACATACTGCCACGGTCCGGTTGGTAACTCCGATGGTTTGATTGGCTGGTTATTGTTGGCTGGTTGGACAGCTTGGCAAGGTAGACAACCTCGTACCTGGTTTTCGACAGCCCTATCCATCCCGGGGAACCAGCAGAATGTTCGTAAGAACTGTTTTGCTTTGCTGACTCCTTGGTGTGCTCGGTGACTCAATTCCACAACCCGTCTTTGTAGGGCAGCGGGAATGACAACACGTGATCCTCGACACACCACACCATTGACCACGCTCAAGTCGTGTTTGATTTCTGGAACCATAAAAGGTTTTAATTCTTCATCTTCCTGGTTAGTTCCTGATTGAACTGCTTTAACCAGTTTCTGGTAAGACTCGCATTTATCCCCTTCAGTTCTAATGTCATCTACCGTCACTGCCCTTTGTTCATTCAGGGCGTGGCAGTACCATCCCTCGACAACGCTTTCAGCTGCTGCTTCGATCTCGGACACTCGGCTTGATCCTTCTCTCTCGACATGATGGCGCGACATGTAGTCAGCAATGCATGTTTTCCCTGGGCGGTAAACAACTTCATACTCGAACTCTTGCACGTCCATAACAAAGTTCTCAACTCTTGGAGGTAGTTCTCCGCACCGTTTGTGGAACATGTAGGTCAATGGGCGGTGGTCGGTAACAATACGGAATTTTGGTGCACCAAGCAGGTACTTCCTTAGCTTCCGGCATGCCCAGCGTACGGCCAGTGCTTCTCGTTCCGTCGAGCAATATCTAGTTTCCACTTCTTTCAGTGCCCTCGACTTGTACATAACTGGGTGGAAGGCCTCATTCTTTGATGCCCGCTGGACAAGAACTGCTCCTAGCCCCGTCTTGCTGGCGTCTACTACTACTTCGGTGTCATGTCCGATGACGTAATGGTGCAATAATGAGAAATCACTTAGCGAGGCTTGCAACTTTACGAATGCTTCTTGGCACTTTCCGTCCCAGGCCCAGACATTTTCTTTGAGCTTTTGCCGTAGAGGGTGGACAATACTTGCAAAGTTCGGGATGAAGCGTTCACTAAACCCTGCCATTCCGAGAAAAGATCGTAATTCCGCTTTGCTTGTAGGCTGGCTTGCGTCTTGTAGATTCCGTACATTCTTTGGGTCCGGCTTGATGCCCTACTTGTTGAACACCAGTCCAACAAAGCACACCTCCTCTACATCGAAGATGCATTTGTCTGGGTTCACCGTGATGCCATTGCTGGTTAAAGCTGACAGGACCTTCTGCAAGGTTGTGTCATGCTCTTCAACTGATCCGCCGATCAAGATGTCATCCGCTATGTTCACTTGGTTTGGGACACCAGACAGCATCTTGTGCATCTCCAGCTGGAGGATATCCTGGGCAGACTTGGTTCCGTAGTTGAGCCTCTTGTAACGGTAGAGGCCATCAGGGCCATAGAATGTGGTGATGTTGCGCGATGGCTCGTCTAGAACAAACTGGTGGTATGCTTCCTTGAGGTCCAGTTTGGTGAAGCGTTCTGCTCCTTGGAATTTGTTTACGATATCCGCCATTGTTGGTATCTGTGTACACGGGCATTGTATAGCTTCGTTCGCCATACGCATATCAATGCAGAAACGAATATCATTGGAATCTGGTTTCGGAGCAATTACTGGGGGACTAACCCAACTACGTGGCTGGTTGTCCGGGACTCGTTCAATGATGTCTTGATCGAGGAGGTCTTGGATCTTGTTTTCTGCCCGGTCCAAGAGATTGAACGGTATTCGTCTTTGTTTCTGAACAACAGGTGTGATACTGTCGTCGATCATCAGTGACACTTCCTTCGTCTTGGCTTTACCGATCTTGCCCGTGAATACCTCTGGGTTGTCTGCAATCATGTCTGCTACCTCTTGGCGTCTGGCTGTTGCCATAACTTTCTTACAGGGCTCGGATACTTGCTTTACGAGGAAACTTTCATTGTATTTGACTAGCTGTAGCTGCTTTGCTGACTGTTCAGAGAGTAGTGGGTAGGCGGATGGTTCCGATGTTACATATATTTCGGTGCTGACTGTCCGATCCCCTGCTGCCAATACTGCTTTGAACGATCCAATGACCGACAGTGGTGTCTTGCCCCCATATGCAAACAGCTTGATATTTGTTGGCGACAGCTTTACCGGTTCCTTGGTCTTCTTCTCAAAGCTGCGGAATTGTTTCTCATCCCAAACATTCTTTTGGGTCCCCGTATCTGGTTGCCACAATACTTCTTGGTCGTTGGTACGGACTCTCATCAACGATGGCTTCTCCCTCATCCCAAGATTGTTTACAAATCCGATTTGGGCCACATCATACTCATCTGTGTCGGAGTCATTCTCAGTGTTGTCTTGGGACTCTTCCTCGATACGCTTGACTCCTGCTTCCTTTTGCTTCTTGAAACACTTGCTGGCATAGTGTCCTTTCTTCTTGCAATAGTTGCAGACTCTGGTTAAGGCTGGGCACTCTGAAGCAGGGATATGTTTCTCATGTCCGCACCTGTTGCACTGGTCTGGGTTCTTTGGTGATGCGTAGCTTCGTTTTGTATCCACCTTGTTCACTTCCGGTCGCGGGCTCCATCCATTACTTTACTTCGGGCGACAGCATCTTCTTTTTTTCTTGCGATATCTAAGATTTGGTCGAGTGTTCGATCCTTCTGTAGAAATTTTAGGCGAAGGGTATCATGATACATATTACTAATGATTAGGCTCTTAATCATCTTTTCAGCTGACCAATCTGTAAAGTTGCACTTTTTTGCCGCTTTACGCAGTCTCGTTGCATAACTTGTGATACTTTCCGAGGGCTCTGTCTTCATTCGGAGTAACTCAAAAATGGCGAAATCATTACACTGTTTTGGTGAAAAATGTATTTCCAATTTGGTTTTTGACTTCTCATACACCGTCCAATCTGCTTCTTCTACCCCGTCTGGTCTGCCTGGTTCTGGCAGCGTGTCGTGCAGGTTTTCAACATCAGTGCCTGCGTATATTAACAGGGCCATTTTGGCTATTTCTGGGGTTTTACTTGGGTCACATCCATTGTATTTGAGGTCTCTCTCAAACCATTCAAACCACTTTTCCCATCGTTTTCCTAGGTCCAACCGATCACCATGAGGATCGAAGGGTAAAACTTTTAGCTTGGGTCCTTTTGTAGCCGTAACGGCTGCGGAACTCGTCGCCATTGTTGTACTGACTGTACACTGTTTTATTTATCAACTTCAAATCGTTTTACAAACGTAACTCGACTGCAAAATCACAATCTAACAACATGTCCGCTCTCTTACAATCCCATACTCCAAAAGGAGAATCGTCTCGATAATGTTCCGATCTATTCCGATCTAACAAATAACACAACGTCTATATAATACATATATATATATATATAACAGGTCGTTTATTTGAATATCATGAATAAATAATCGACGCTCCAGACTTTCTTTATGGTCATCCTTTGTAAAATTCGGATCAACTGGCAACCCCATTTTTTCGACAGAAGATGCAATATTGATTAAAGTAGGTTTTAGATGGCCGCTTACGGTAACGCCGTGATCCGATAAATATTTTTGAAGCTCTTTCACACTCATCGCTTTGAACTTATCATCTATGTTTTCGCGCGACATCATATATATAGATATATATCTTTTTTAATCAAACAGAATAGAAAATTTAAACAGCACAAGTTTGAAAAAACTACGGAACAACCCAATTTGCGTGCAATGTACTAATGTTTTTTATACTATCGCGTGAGAGTTTGCGTGACCCGTAGTCCGAACTTTTGCGATTGTTTACATTTTTGATCACGTGTCAAGTACACGTGGCGCCCACGGTGCAAGTGGTGAATTTAGCCCGTGTTCAAATCTCTATATAAATTCGTGACTGTATATAATCTCTGAGTAATATATAATTGTTTATTCCATTACTACCACAATAGTTTCATAAACTTTTTCTGAGTCAGGAACAAATTTATTTAACTCATAATCGTGTATTTTTATGGATTAAATGGTCAACAATGGTATGGTAAGCGGGCATCTCGAGCTGTCAATCAAGCCATTGCTCGTGCATTTACGTCGTAAAAAAGATTTTGTGACGATTTTGGGTCGGATTACACAAAACTCTGCTAGATGACCCGCATATCCGTTCTAATCTGATACCTAGGCTCATTTTCCAAGGTTCTGCCAAGAAAGAACAAAAGCGGAACTGCCAAAAATGATGTAGCGGTATATTTGTATATATCCGACGTTTGGAGGCCTTCAGAGAGAGTTCAGACGAGCAACTGAATTAGTGAGTTCTTAATTGAACTATAATAAAGAACTATAATAATTTTTACGCCACATCAATAACTTGAAACAGCTTATAAGATCAATGGTTGTACTCTGACGAACATTGCTATCCGTGAATTGGTTAAGTTTTTGAAGAACGAAAATCATGAGAGTAACGACCGTGAACTTACTAAACTATATTTGAGTGGCAATCGTTAAACAGCTGAAGCTGCTAACGATTTATGTGATGCTCTGAAGAGTGGCACCTGTAAATTTACCAAGCTAAATGTAAGAGGCAGTGGTTTAACAGCTCAATGTGCAAAATATTTAAGTGATGCTCTAAAGAGTGGCACCTGTAAACTTACCAAGCTAATTTAGCTAAATGTAAGAGGCAGTGGTAATAAACTGCATGTAAGTGGCAATAATTTAACAGCTCAAGGTGCAAAATATTTAAGTGATGCTCTGAAGAGAGGTAGCTGTAAACATAATAAACTAGATGTAAGCGGCAATGGACTAACAGCTCAAGGTTCTGAATATTTAAGTGATGCTCTGAAGAGTGACAACTGTAAACTTACTAAATGAGATGTAAGTGACAACGCTTTAACAGCCGAAGGTGCTAAATATTTAAGTGATGCTCTGAAAAGTGACAAATGTAAACTTACTAAATTAAATGTAAGTCGCAATGGTCTAACAGCTGAGGGTGCTAAATATTTAAGTGATGCTCTGAAGAGTGACAGCTGTAAACTTACTAAACTAGATGTAAGTGTCAATGATTTAATACCTGAAGGTGCTAAATTTTGAAGTGCATGATGCTCTGAAGAGTGACAACTGTAAACTGATTTACTAAATGTAAAGTCCTAGTGGCTGCAATCAGTGGCGTAGGAAGGGGGGAGCACTGGGGGCACGTGCCCCCCCCAAGATTTTTCAAGGGACCAAAAGTGCCCTTTTTGGAAGCGAAAAGAAACAAAAAAGTATGTACTATTTCCCAATAATCCTTAAATTGAGAGGGATTTGCGGCCATTTCAGAGGCCCATATCTCAAAATTTTCTCGGGGGAGCATGCCCCCGGACCCCCCTAGCAGTACGAAGCCCAAGAAATACGAAAAATGCTCTGCGGTCGGCGGTCCCTGATTCAAACCTTCCCTATATATATATATTTTTATTAACCATTTTAACCGCCATTTTTATTAACCAAAAGTGCCCCTAGAAGCTGGTGCCCCCCCCAACCTTTGGATGCTTCCTACGCCCTTGGCTGCAATCAGTTTAAAACGCGTAAAATGTTGTCAAATGTTGTCAAACGACGACTTGTCTCTTGTACAAACAATTTTTTTTTCAAACAAATTTTTTTCCCGATATTTTTGGTCGATTATATTTTGCCCAACTGGATGAGACGTTTTATGAGACAAAAGATAAAATGCAAATTTTCAGCCCAGACTTTCATCGCTCTCTTTCGAATGTGTTAAGTCAAGCTCATCTAATGGATTAGTTCCGCCTTATTACTCGGGCTACCGTAGGTAGCGAGGTTGCCGTAGGTAGACGGAGTTATAAAATGGGCTCGGTTTTTTCTTTTGCGTCGCGAGTTTACAAAAATCACGCGTGGGCGGCACGAATTCTTCGAACCAATCGAAATCGTCCTAGGATCGTTTCTCGCGCGGGTGTCACGAACATGCCATGTCACTACGAGATAACTGTAGCCCGAGTGATCCGTGATCGCCTGAGTAGGCATCTTGTTGTTTATATTTCAAAGAAAAGCGATCGCAAAAAGTCGATCAAGCGACATTTTGCACCGTCTGGAAATCCGCCTTAAAGCCTAGTTTCGATACTGAGGTCGTTATCTTTCGCTACCTGTCGTTTGACGAGTAACCTTGAAAGACCAATATACCGATACAGAAAAACCGAAAACGACAGTGTCGTTGGGATAGAAAGAACCCCTATCTCAAAGACGTATAACGAAAAGAAACGACAAAATTCTGGTCAAAGCGGTCCGGTGACATACAGAAGAATCTAAAATTTATAACAAATAAGTATGGAATATTTTACTAAGTAGAAAAAACTTATATGAGCATAAACAAATTTAGTTGAAGAAGAAACTCCTTGCTAAGGGCCTCCTTTTTGTTTTTGGTATAGTGACGATGTACGACACTGTCGTTTTCGGTTTTTCTTTGTCGTTATCGGTCTTTCAAGATTACTCCAAAGACTCCGAAAGACACGTAGCGACAGATAACAACCTTATGGAAACTAGGCTTCAGTAAACAAAGTAAGCGCGGCACGCGCGCGAGTATCACACGCGCAAGTCAAGTCTGGGATATTATAAATCAGTTTGCATTGGTTAAAAAAGGGAATTAGAGTTTGTAGTCTTTTTTATAGTATTCTCCAAATTGTAATTCTAATAAGTATTTTGTAGTTTATTATTGTAATTTCACTAATTTGTATGGTAAATTTCTTTGTATTAATTGAAAGTTGTATGTAAACCAAAACTACGTACGGCCCGATTTTTGGTGGACTGTTCAGACAACCCGATATTTTTTTTGACGGGCTTAGGGGGGAGGTAGGTGGCCAGCGTAAAGAAACGTATAGGTGTTTCAACCATAAACAAATTCCCAAAATGAGGTTTAAATCAATGGGTTTAAATGGCTGACGAGGAAGCTAAGAAACTTGCTGCTGCTGCTATGTTGGTTGCCGTTACGTTGTGGTGAAAAGAAGAAAGGCACGCAAAGACAGGAAACGTAATATGTGGCAAAAGAGTTGGATTGCCAGAAGAAACGAAAGAGGCGCTTATCACGCCCTCGTCCAAGAAATGAGGCTCGAAGACGAAGAAAGCTACCGAGGGTATTTGAGGATGGACACAAATACATTTGAGGTATAAGCCAAGCCAAGTTAAAAGATATGTGTTTTTAAATTTTCTTTAGTATCAGTTTCGTGTTGGGAAGTCAACAATTTCTGCTTTGATACCTGAGGTGTGCAATTTATAACCAACTTGTAAGTGAAGTTCTTCGTAACACCAGAACTATCAGTCAATCCGGGAGCAGTGAAGTTCTTCGTAACACCAGAACTATCAGTGAATCCGGGAGCAGCAGCCATGTATGTTATCTAATTTTTCGCGCCAAATTAAATTTGGAAAGTATGGAGAGTGAAAACGTTTCAGACGTTATGAAAACGTTTCAGACGTTTTTAAACAGGGATAATGTGAAGCCTTGCCGTTTCGGTAGTCCAACGTGCAGTGTAATATTATCCCAACACGAGGAATATATTGTCATAGATTGCTTGCATCCGAACCAGCTAGTTTTTGTTGACGAACCAGACATTGTAAGTATAAGACACCATTTTATTTCCTTGTATTTAAAAGTCACAACAGAGTGTGTCTCTTATTCAATGTCCTTCAATTCGTGTTACTGTAAGGCAACCAAATAGTTCAGCAATATGGATATAGTGCTCGAGGAACGAGACCTGTTGTTAGACCTGTTGAGACTTATATATATACTTGTACTTGTAATTTTTGTACAATTCATATATGTACTTTTACTCTTAATTGAGCCATGTGTTCACTTGTGGGGTTATAGGGAATACGTGTTTTATATAATGCCATCTTAATACAGTAGTCAGTAGATACCAAAACATCCTTTAAAATACCTTTATATTTCAACAATTCAGCTGTCAGCTTATTTCCCAATTTTAATCAACTGTTCGCGTTCTTTTGTTAATCCATTAATCCGTTGAGCAGCTTGACTTCTTAAAAAAAAAGGAAAACGTTTAAAATTCAAATCTCGGCTAAGTAGTTCAGAATTTTATGAAATGAATTTAGGGTCTCTTATGTGTTGATGAGAAATTTTAGGTTTTCCCGCCGCAATCAATTTTCAGTTTTGGAAAAGATCATAATTTACCAATTGTGAACGAGTTGGAATGAAATATATCTACGTAGACTTTTTAACGTCGTAGCTACCATAGCGTCATAGCTATACTATAGCGTCATAGCTATACTATAGCGTCATAGCTATATCACGCCATTTCAGGTGGATCAAGACAGCAAGGGATAGGCATTCTATATATGGTCTAACAACCGGACAGTGGTTGGGTCCATCACAATTTATATATACATTTCAATTCAGTAGATTTAGAAGGTTCTACGTTCTTAAGATTCTAAACACGAATAAAGATAATATTTCAAAAGCGTCAGAAAGTACACTCACCTTTCTCTCGAAGGTCTTGTATAAACTGACTTTCTGGATTGTACGTATTCAAAGGTTTCCGTGACTGGCAAGATCCAATTTTAATGCATGCTGACAACTGCAGAAAAGCAACTCCAATAAGAAAAAGCAATCATCTCCTGTCTGTCACACAATTCTTGACTAGATGTTGCTAATACTTCTATACCTGCGGTAGTTTATCTGCGACAAACATTAACCAATATTTCATAAACAATCTCTGCACGAACTCGACTTTCGTCTAATTACACCGAATACAAAAATTTCGGACATTACGCTCTCAAAACAGATAAATATCAAACAATTATCATGCAGTAATTCTTCGCCTGTAGGCCGTGTTACACCCTCACTCATCGAGTGCGACAACCAAATTTTGTTATCACTGATCAAAGAGAAAGTAATTTCTTAATCGATAAAAAGATCTAAGGTAAAACACTGAAAATAAAGCTCTTATTCGAGTGGAAATACCGCCTTGGGAATGTTATGACTTAGATTGAGATCTCCACTAAAGGCCGTTCGAGTGAGCTTTTAGAATACAGGCATAAGGCTGTCACAACTGATATCTTAGGTTTAGCATTATAGCTGCTCGCTTTTACTCAGTGAATCTCCCAGGATGTTACTGACATCCGGCTGATACCTAATCAAATCCTCTCTTAACTGCTTGCGGTTTTAAAAGTACATATAAATTTCGTTCGATCTTGCATTAACCAGCAACAGGGTAGAGTACAATTGAAAGTGAGTTCACCGTTAAGCTTCAGACTGTGATACATTTACACGTTTAATTTGTTTTAATGTTATATACCTATTTCCATTTTGCATCTGCGATCTAGTTATTTAACAATATCATCGAACTTACCTGGTTTATTATAATGATACGGCATCAATATTTCTCTCCAAACCCGTTTTGTAAAATTGGTCAGCCTGTTGTCTTGCTTGGGTTACCGGCAGCTTGAGATCAGAGTTCTGCTGCTTCAAAACATTCATTTCTTCGCTGGCCCGAAGATTCTCTGTTGTCAACTGATAGTGAAGTTGATCAATGTTTAGTTGCTTCTGACGAACCTGGAAAGAGAAAGAGCGTTGATCATCAATAATCGACACAGCTTTCTAAAATCCATGCAGGAATGTAGCACTCGAATACCAGCGCCATTTACACTATAGACTAAATTTATCGGCACGGCACGGATAAAATTGTTACCAGTGCCCAGTTCTATTAAGTTTTCAGGCTATATATACAGGGTGTATCAAAAAATGTCCCAAATGTAAAATTTCCGTTTTTCAGGATATTTTGCAGAATTTGGCAAATTTTTGTGTTCCTAGAGATAGTTAAGACTTATCTGGTATACCGTAATTACTCGAATAAACGCCTCCCTCGAATAAACGCCGCCCTCGAATTAACGCCGCAGGGATAAGCAAAAATATCATTAAACGCCGCCCTCAAATAAACGCCGCAACCTTTTCGTCATTGCGGCGTTTATTCGAAGCATTTATTTATAACCACAGTTCAATTTTCATATATAATTATATAAATAGAAAAGACACATAACTTTTACACTTAGTTTTTTTGGGGATTGATTGTATTGGTTAAATTGGCGTTTAAAATTACACAATAAATTGAGAGTTGTTACGAGTTTGCAATAAACGCCTCCCTTGAATAAACGCCGCCCTCGAATAAACGCCGCATCTTAATTGCTAAATATTTAATAAACGCCGCGGCGTTTATTCGAATAATTACGGTATCTAGGCAAAGTTTGGTTTTTCATTAACAAAATTATGTTACCGGGGGGGGGGTTCCTTTCCACTGATATTGAGAGGGCTTGCGCGTGAAAATGTGAAGCTGAAATTGAGATATTATTTAGCTGTATAAGAGTAGGAAAGCTTTTTAATAAAGTTTCAGGAAAAATAATACATACTGGTAGCAACGCACGACCCCTAAAGGTGACAAATATTTCATTGCGCGCAGTGGATTAAATGCATCGTTGATTTTAGCGTGACCGATCTCATGTAAGGCTGGGCAAATGAATAAATTAAAGCGAGAAACTGAACACAAAAACAAAGCGATTTATTCGTGATGTTAACCCTCAGCATGTCCACCATTTCATTCTACGCTTGTCTGAGCATGCTAAACACTGAACAGTGGACCGTTTGTCTGTCCATTCGCCTAAATTTGCCGGTGGTAGTGTAGGCGATTTGCAAGAAAGAATTTCGAACGAAATGGATAATTTGAGGCAAGACAGACAAATGGTTCGCCGTTCAGTGTTTACCATGCTCACACGAGCCGCAGTTTGCTTAAAAGAAATGGTGGAAATGTTGAGGATTAACATCACGAATAAAAATCTTGTTATTAAATCGCTTCGTCTTCTTGTTTCGTTTCTCGCTTTAATTTATTCATTTGCCCACCTTGTATGAGATCGGTTACGCTAAAATCAACCATGCATTTAATCCACTGCTTGCAATAAAATATTTGTCACTTTTAGGGGTCACGCGTTGCTCCCAGTTTGCATTATTTTTCCTGAAACTTTGACAATTTATTAAAAAGCTTTCCTACTTTTAGACAGGTAAATAATATCTCAATTTCAGCTTCACATTTTCGCGCGCAAGCCCTCTCAATATCAGTGGAAAGGAACACCCCCCCGGTAACATAACTTTGTTAATGAAAAACCAAACTTGGCCTAGGTATACCAGATAAGTCTTAACTATCTCTAGGAACACAAAAATTTGCCAAATTCTGCAAAATATTCTGAAAAACGGAAATTTTACATTTGGGACATTTTTTTGATACACTTTGTGTATATATATATATATATATATATATATATATATATATATATATATATATATATATATATATATATATATATGTATAAAGTATAAATGTCAAGGAAACAAGGCAAATTACTCAAGAAAACTATATCACCAGAGAAAAACTTACTGTGTTACCAGTTTTGCCCAGTTCATGGAAACAAGGCAAATTACTCAAGAAAACTATATTACCAGAGAAAAAACTTACTGTGTTACCAGTTTCGTAAGGTTTTTAGCTCGGTTATTAAGCCTTAGACTACATTTGCAATAGCGACTTACTCGTTTAGCGTTGGCCAACATTTCTTCTTTTCCCGAGCAAAGCGATCCAATTCGGCATGTTTCCTTTAAAATCCTCCTGTAAGTTGTCTCCCATTCTCCTCATATTTTCCAGTTGTGCTTCGAGATCTGTGACCTTACTTATACTTATGAGTGTTTTCCAAATCAGAAAGCATACAATCTTTTTCTTCAAGCATCTTCTTCAGCTCCCGAGTTCTCAGTTCTCTCTTGTCGAGTTCCTCTTTACATCGACGACTATCACATCGCATTAACTCCAGTTCTTTTGTTAAACTTCAGATCTAAAAAAACCTGTCAATTATTAAAGACAAGTGACAATGATCGACAAACCATCCCACAAAGCACTTTCTAGATATGTACTTTAAACCAAAAGCCTAATTTATGACGGGCAATTTATACGTTTGGCTCGGTAGTCTCGTTTGACCAAATGCACTCGTTTAAGCATCTAGACTACATAGGTAAAATTTAGCTCAGAGAGCGAATTCCTAAATTCGTCAAGAAGTTAGGGAAAAAGCGAAACCTTGTTGGTAGCAAGATAGTTTAACTGAGGAAAACAGTTACACACACACCTTGTATGTTTACAATGCACAACATGTAATATTCTTAGTATTAGTCATCCACAAAATGGCCTTAAACAACTGGTCTATGTGGTGAAATAGTTTAAAGCCACAACATGTAGTGTTTAAAGTGCACAGGAGGTTTTTTGGAGAGAGATGAAAAAAAGGTCCAAGGAGAAGGGAGCTTCAGTAATAAAATGGTGGTAATATTGTATTTGAGGTATATATTGGCAAATGGAAAGCATGCAGATAGGCCTGTAATGGTTGTAATGAGTATAAATTATTACCTTAAGGTCATTTGACAATAAGAGACTTCTTGTTTCATCCAGTTTTGATCGATATTCTTGTTCTCTTTTTCTTATTGCTTCATCAAAATTACTGACATTTTCTGGATGACGAAACTCAAAATCATTTTCTGTTGCTCTAAAAAATCAAAATGTTGATTTTTAACCAATATTTTAAAAAATGCTTTATTAACATAATCACTGTAACTCATTGTTAATTATAGCCTCAGTAAGTTCTCAAAGTTCATAATTGCACATTGGCATACATTGCATGTAATATATCTCTACTGATACTAAAAGGTAGTTTACAGTGACTTCTTCACATCAGTTCTGCTTGTAACAATATGGGTAGACTACTTGATTTAAAATTTCTGAAATTTAGCACATTTTTTACTTTTCGGAACATAAACTCCAGCTCTCATTTAGAACTATAGCAAACCAAAATAGTGTCAACTATTCTGACTGCTCTTGATATTTTTAGAAATGTAGTGAGTGAAAATGTAAACAAGGTGTTTGTTTAAACATGGTTTACATTAATTAGCATCAGTGTACCCTACCTTTAGAGTTCATTAATTATGATCACCGAAAATTTAAATGTCTTTAAGAGCTCTGATGGTATTCCAGTTACAAACAATGATTGCATGAGGTGAACTAGATTACCTTAATTGTAGCTCCAGATTTTTCCGATAAGACGAAAGCTCCTCCCGTTCTTTAGCAACTACATTATCTTTCTCTTCTTGAAAAGCTTTAAATTGATTCTGATATTCTTGCAATCTCTAGACATAATTAACCATATCATTTGTTGAACATATCAGAATTAAACATATAGCTAGTGAAGAAAGACAAGCAGAAGAGAAAGCTTGCAGCTCAGCTGCAGCTATTCTGGAACAGTTCTAAATATGCTTAATGGCTGCCCAGTTTGTTCTCAGTCAATTACAGGGTTGCTTTTCGTTGCTAGCTATATCACAGGATAAATTTATTCCTGCACATATGTACACGTATACAGCACAACTATATGTAACGATTGAAATTCAACAAAACTTCATAAACCTTATCGGAGGACTAACTACATAAGGCAACGAAAGGAGTGCCCCAATCAGTGAAAAATTGTTGCCTGCTTCTTGTCATAACAAAGTAAAGTGGGTTTCTTTTTTAAATAAAATTGTTGTGTAACATTTATGTTTTCGTTCCTATACAACAAAACACTTAATGTACACTACCTTTGGAAATAGTGAGTTATGTTTTCCCTTCAGTCAGACTCTTGGAAAAACAAAATTCACCATTTCCCTCGGGAGCATACATTAAGTGTATATTACACAATTGTAACTTCTCTTCATGTAAATATAAGACAGTTAGCTTTTATATATTTATCTTTTATCAAATGTAATTAATTTCATCTTCACAATTTATAGGCCGTATTCTGTGGCCGATTATCGTTCAGTTTCGTTGCCCCCCTTCGGGCACTACTTGAAAACACGATAGAAAATTAGGATAAATTATAGAAAGTCTAAATTCACTTGTTTTCACCTTCACAAACCTGCAGTTTTCGAGCATTTCATCTTCGAAAAATCAGTAAATTTGCATGTTTTGCAATACACCGACGCCATTTTGATTCAGGAAATGTATTGGATACTTGGTGTAATATACGACATATATTGCAGATTCAGCAGTTTTATACCAGGATTTAAATGAAGTTTCCAGCATTTTTGCGGGGCAAGCAGGTTTCAACAAGGAAGCTTTGAGTCAAGTTTTACGAGGTTTTTCACAAATTTTCATAGTTTTTCTAAACTAAATTAGTCAGAGAACAGACAAAATTAATCGGAAAAACATCCGACATTTTGTGATTTTTTATAGCATTCTGCTCTTGGAATTTACAAATAAATAAGAACAACTTTATTTACACGCATCAAAATAATCCACGAGCGTTTTCTTTCTAGTCAATTTATATAAAATAATTACTACACAATTCTTTTAATCTGGGAAAATCTGGAGCGTGTTCTCCCTCCCATGCTGCAGCAACGCTTTTACAGGTTAAAAGCCAACGCTTCTCTTTCTTCTTAGAATTGAATTGTGGTAATTCTTCCATTGCTGATCTTTCTTTCTTTGACCCGAAAAGAAAACACATAACAAATTGGCAGACAACAAAGTCTGGAATTTTGCAAATAAGAAAAGAACGCATTATCCTACAACCTTACTACCCCATACACTGATGCTACTCTCCTTTATAATAAACTAACTTGCTATAGTTAAAACTATATAATACAGAAACAACATACTGCGTATCTTAAATCAATTTCAACCAAATAAAATTGTGGGAGAATTACAAGAGCCTTATGATTTCAAAACACAAATGAAACGTTGAACTCAACCCTTTTAATCGGACAGCTAATACCACAACTCATCATCGACGTCATCTCCGAAATCCAGAATAGATCCTGATCCTTCAAGTTCATCATCGTCATCAGATTGAGCCAGGCCATAACTGCTATTATTCTCATTACCATCTTCAACCACTGCATTCTGGCAATCACCACACAAACATAGGTCGGTGCATTTTAAGTCAGCCTTTTTGCAGGAATAACGCATGGTCGAGCATCCAGTCTTGCACTTTCACTCAGCACACTCAATTTAAGATCGCGGAGCGGGTGGGCGTGTCATCCAAGTTATCTCTAGCTCTTTATCGTCAAACGTCCAGCCATTGCCAACCGGTGATGAAAGATCAATTTCTGCACTTAAACACTGATACTATGATGCTGCTTGATTGCTAATGCCATTACCGGTAAAAGCATGAAAGCCTGGTAAACAAGGAGCAACATCTACGCCCAAGAATTTCGAGATAATTGCTACAAATACGCAACGACGTCCATCTCCCGTGCCAGTCAAAAGAAAATCTCTTTTTGCATCTGTTGTTGCATGGTAATCGCAGGTATAAGAACATCTGTATCAGGGATTTTGATAACAACTTTATCGTACGTTGCTGCTGCGTGGTTAGCATGTAGAATTAAACGAGTGTCTGCTTTTTCGTGGTTGCTATGAAGCGAAGACACCTCATTACTTGTAACACTATCGTTCGGGGAATCACCGGGATATAAAACATAGCATCTTTCTTTAGCAGTTACGTACATAGTTGAAATGGAAAACCACCGGGAGGAGTCCCATCACCTCCAGTGTTCACATAAAAAATATATGAGGGATTCCTTGTTTTCACCGGATCTTAAACACTTTTTCCACTATTTTGGAACACTCTGATCTTTTCCGAAGATGTGAACTTTCTGGACTCCTTTTTCACTTTTCAGCTCTTCGTTGTCTCTCTGCATCATCGCCAAATGTTTTGCATTTTCCTTTCATCGACTGAATAACATTGACTTCTGGATTTCCAGATTCAGGTTCCAATACTTCAGCAAGTTTAGACTGGGCCAACTTGGCAGTTTTCACAAGTCCTCTCACGTTTTCATAAGGAAAATGTTTGAAATTTGTTCTCTTTCAACTTCGTAAAGATGTCTGGGTCTTCGCTCAAAAAATTCGTTTTTTTAGTGGATTGATGATAATAAGATAAAGGCGTTGGTAATTAACTTTGTAAAAAAACTGAGATGTTGTAAATAGTTTTGTTGAGAAAACGTGTGTATTATAAAAGTAGTTAATATAAAACAAAGGTTAAGCAGGAAAGGAATTGTGTAGTAATTATTTCATATAACTTGACTGAAACAAAACGCCCGTGGATGATTTTGATGCGTGTAAGCAAAATTGTCTAAGTCTTCTCTGACTAATTTAGTTTAGAAAAACTATGAAAATTTGTGAAAAACCTCGTAAAACTTGACTCAAAGCTTCCTTGTTGAAACCTGCTTGCCCCGCAAAAATGCTGGAAACTTCATTTAAATCCTGGTATAAAACTGCTGAATCTGCAATATATGTCGTATATTACACCAAGTATCCAATACATTTCCTGAATCAAAATGGCGTCGGTGTATTGCAAAACATGCAAATTTACTGATTTTTCGAAGATGAAATGCTCGAAAACTGCAGGTTTGTGAAGGTGAAAACAAGTGAATTTAGACTTTCTATAATTTATCCTAATTTTCTATCGTGTTTTCAAGTAGTGCCCGAAGGGGGGCAACGAAAATCGTTTTCTAAGCGACTTTTCGTGCCAGAGAATACGGCCTATTAATATTAGACACCAATGTCACTATGTTCAACTATATTGCACCAAGCCATTGCAACTAGGGGTTTAAATTAAAAAGCCTGTTAAAGGTTTTAACAGACTCCTAGCTCAATTAATTTTATCCTGTTTTCATTTAAATATTTTTGTATGCAGAATCGATTCATCAAAATAAAAAAATTAAAAAATTTACCTTTTGGTAGTGTTTCTGTAGCTCCTCTTTGGACTTCTGTTCATTTTGTAATTTGATGTTGAATTCATCAATCTTCACACACAATTCACTAACTTGAGCAGTCTTAACGTGCTCATCTTCCTTAACTTTACCAATCACCGTATCATATTTCTCTAACTCTTGATCTCGTTCTAATATAGGTTTGAAGTTATACTCAAAATCATCCTTCAACTTACGAAATCTCAACTTTTCCTAGTGTCTGAACTCCCTATCTTTTTCAGCTATAGTTTCTTCCAGTGCCTGAACTCTGAGTTGAGAAGCTTCACGCCATTCTTTTTCCTTCTGTAAAACCACGGAGTCTGAATCGTTTGCAGACATTGGTATTTGCAGCATATTAATAACACATTGAGTGCACGAAGGTCATGCCAACTTCAGCACAGTTTGCTGATATATTTCGACAGTTTGCGATTGTTTTGCGGCGGACAGTACATCTAGTATAGTATATACAGCGATTAGCCCGCCTATTTAAGCTTCATATTGTGCTAAAATACATTCATTGAAGAAAAATTTCTAGTTTCTATATAATATTTTTCTTTGATTTGGTAAAGCTGTTTTGTGCATTGATCGCCCCACGTGTGTCACGCAAAACTACGCTGGTCCCGCGTGGTCGGAGATTACGTAAGAATAGATACATAGGCGTACATACGCTTTGATCAAATTTTAAAATCCAATCCTGGAAGTCAACCTGTTCATACGATCCAATTTTGTCGGATTGAATTCACTTCTGATGAAAGTTTTATAGTTTGTTGAGTTGCAATATATGTGAAATTTATAAGACGCTTTATGATGTCATGATCTCAGATCAGCTGGTTAGTCATGGCTTCAAATACGTCAAAAGGCGCCTGCACAAACTGAGTAGTTCTAAACTCAACATTTTTTAATGTAAAACGGGCAAAAATAAAAATTCTAATTGATTTTGACGAAAAAACAAATGCATTTTTACATTGAAATAATGAACTAACTAAAATTTTTCAAATGCCGCAGTTATATGATATGAAGGATATGATAAGCCAGTCTTCAGTGAAGCAAAGGATATGGCTTCTTATTCGTTGATTTTTTCACTCAGATTACCTGGGTATGCAATGCCGTAGAGGGTGACTGACTTTTTTTTCATCCATACCATTCCATCATTTTAATGTATGTTCGCCAAAAAAACACCCCAGACAGGTTTGTGAAATTAACTTCCGTTTTGGACAAAAGATGTCGGATCGGCGTAAATTCTTCTTTCAACGAGAGCAACCCCCCCCTATCACGTACCAATTTGTGTCTAGATTTCACCGTTTTGGAAAAATGATTTCACGAACAATTAAGGGGTGTCGCATTGCTATTCATTGTCAAAACGTGAACATTGATGCTAGTTGCTCAGCCTTCACAAAAGTTGCTCTAAACTACCTGGAAATTTTTTCAATAATAATCATTTCTATATGACGCATTTCTCGTTTTTTGGGTTTCGCTTTTATTTTGTGGAGCAATGCAGACGAGGCGTAGAAACTTCCCGCCCCGTGTCGATTACGGCGCGACATTTAACACTATTTATATTAACAACTACGACAGGATAAACGACAGAACTATAAGACTAAGTAGCATTTCATTAAAGGGCGCAGCAGGAGGCTTCGTATCACCCGGGAGGTCACAAATCAAGGTATGATGTCTACGCTTACATTTGGTACAAAAAAATCGGCTTCGGCAATCAGAAGCACAATGATCGGCACGGTTAAAACACAAATGCTTATCGCTTAGATACTTCTTTCGTTCCGCAGACGTAACCTTTAATACGCCTTAAAAGGCGTTCACAACACGGATCGAGTAAACAAAAAAAGCGAGCTGTGTCAGTGTGTCGTTTTGCTTGCGTACATTCGAATATAATTTTGATCAAGTCACAGAATATGTATGCATGCAGTGTCGTTTAGCTTCGATCGAGTATGCTCAGAAAGCGTACATTCACATATACCTGGGTGCACATATTAAAACGCACCGTATGTGTCGTATGTCCGAAAACTGTCCTCACGCACAAAGAAACAGAAAATTGAATAAAAGCTAATAAACGGTCAAAAATATGTCCAAATTGATTTAACAAAATCAAGCCGGATTCGCCGCGTGGAAGAATTAAGTCTTGCGCGTATTTTACCGTTTGACTTTTATTTCAAAGCTTTTGGCATATTTATAGTGTTTCAAAGCGATCTTTCTTCCGTAAATAACCGAAATTTCCATTCTCAATGGCGTAGGGAGAATACCGAGATTGGGGGGCGGGCTCTAACTAATAGAAAGGGCAATTAAAAATATGTATAGGGACGGTTTTATTGCCAAAGCACCAAAGACACGACTAGTAAGTAGTGACTGTAGTGTGGTTTATATTCATCATGGTCTACACAAAGATTAGGAACGGGTAAGTGGGCGTACCTGTAGGCCCTGGGCGTACATTGGAAACAAAAAAGGCCACCTTCGATTTTAAAGTTGTATTTACAGAATTACCATTTCCAAAAAGGCATTTTTCACCAAAACCCCGGCACTTTTGGGCCCTAGGATTCTTTTCTTTTGGGGGGGGGCACGTGCGTAGTATCAAAAATTCTTCGTCGTTACTGATAATTTCGAAATCACTTGCTTCTTATGTCCCGCGTTGAATAAATGAATTGGTATAAATACTTTGATGATGATAATTTTGTTTCTTGTCTAAAACGCACAAAACTGAATCTTATTCCTAGCTTTTACATTGTAATATCAACGTGAAATTGCCATACGCCTAAATATATGCCGCCCAGGTGAAGAAAATGGTTACGGTGCGATTGTTTTGTATTTTTAATCTGCATTACAATTTTATTTCATATTTAAATGCCAGGACACATTAAACGAATGTTTAGTCCACTTTTTTGGTACATTTTGAAGTACAAGTTTAACTTATATTTTATCAATGAACATGCATGTTTTGTTTCAACAATTCCAATTGAAAATTTCCCAATATGCTTATAACCGACCGGCGTGTGCCCAGACGTTTTGCCGCAGTGTTCTGGGGCCCGGTCACGTGTCACTACCCTACATGTGGTAGTGACGTAATCATCGCGGGTTCTCTTTGCACATGCATGCAGTTAGTCTTTTGCGAACAACAGAAGCTACGCGTCATGACTATACGAAAAATGTATTCAATTCATTCTTACAGTAATTTATTTCGACTAACGTCTATATATTAATGCCATTTTAATAGATATACCAAAACATTCCTTCAAATACCTTTATATTTCAACAATTCAGCTCTCAGCTTATTTCCCATTTTAATCAACTGTTTGCGTTCTTTTGTTAATCCATTAATCCGTTGAGCAGCTTGACGTAGTTTGGTGTGTAATCCTTCAGCTGACGATACAACTCCCTTCATACCAAAGATTTCTGAAAAAAAGAGGAAAACGTTTAAAATTCAAATCCTGACTAAATCATTCAAATTTTATGAAGTGAATTTAAAGTTTGTTATGTGTTGATGAGAAATTTTAGGTTTTCAAGCCGCAATCAATTTACTGTTTTGGAAAAGGTCGTAATTTACCAATTGTGAACGGTTTGGAATGAAATAAATCTCCATAGACAGGCGTCATAGCTATATCACGTTATTTTAGGTGGATCAGGACAGCAAGAGATATGCATTCTATATATGGTCTAACAACTGACAGTGGTTGGGTTACATCATGCACGATCTATACGTTTCAATTAATTCAGTAGATTTAGAATGTTCTACGGCAGTCGTGATTATTAAGATTCTAAACACGAATAAAGATAGTATTTCAAAACCGTCAGAAAGTACACTCACCTTTCTCTCGAAGGTCTTGTATAAACTGACTTTCTGGATTGTACGTATTCAAAGGTTTTCCGTGACTGGCAAGATCCAATTTTAATGCTGACAACTGCAGAAAAGCAATGAGAAAATGCAATCATCTCCTGCCTGTCACACAATTCTTGACTAGATGTTGCTAATACTTCTACCTCGGGTAGTTTATCTGCGACAAACATTAACCCATACTTTCATAAACGATCCCTGTAGAAACTAGAATTTCTGTCTAATTACACCGAATACAAAAATTTTCGACATTACGCTCTCAAAACAGATAAATATCAAACGATTATCAGATATTCTTCCGTATCCACACTATCGCATGTAGGCTGTGTTACACTCACATACAAATTTTGTCATCACCGATCAAAGAGAAAGTTATTTCTTAGTTGATACAAAGATTTAAGGTAAAACACTGAAAATTAAGCTCTTATTCGAGTGGAAATACCGCCATGGAAATGTTATGACTCCCACTCATAGAATTTGAGTGAGCTTTTAAAATACAGAATTTCCTCGCTAATTCGAACCCCCAAGGGCAAAGGAAAATTGTTCGAGTTACCGGGGGTTCGAGTTAACCGGAGTTAGTGTAATATTACATTTATTATATATAAGTAATACAATAAGGTATAAAATCCAATCGAATCATTCTTCAAGAGATATCATGCCTACCAATATGAATGGTCACCGAAACTGGACGACATTTTAAAATAAAAAGATCGAGTGTGTGTTAAAAAACTCAATGTGTTAACATATTCAATTTACGCTTTGGCTTTGGTTAGTATATTCAATTTACGCTTGCATTTAAAAAAAATTTTTATTCACAGAACGCCGAAAGAAGGAGAGTTAATAAGATCATAATTATTTGTCCGGGCTAGCATGCAAATTAGCAAACATATTTTAATGCAAGCGGATATTAGAAGCCAATTGGACAAAAATACTAGCTAATCGCAATTTTTTCCATTTATGAATGCGTGATGGTAATCCAGATTTCAATTTTTTAAACGGTGTTTAAGAAAACCGGAGATTATTTTAATGTCTGTAATGTTTAACACAAGTGAAAACCCGTTGTTCGAGACTGAATGAAATTTACCTTGTGCGATAGTTTTTATACATGGATGCCGTAAAAATGTGTCTCGTTCTTTTGTTGCTAAACAAAGTGGCTCAGATGGCAGATCATTAGATTAAGTTAAAGTGAGCAAATTATCAGTACAATTTATCTACGATGATATTTGCATACATTCAACAACCAAAACATCTAAAGTAGCAAGAAGCTCTTTATAGAATGATGTAGTCAATTTATTAGCACGGGACGGCTAAAATTGGTGCCTGCGTCCAATTTGATGCACAGCAATTTAAAGCACAGCGCATCCATTTTGACCGTGCAATAGTTTGCAGCTAAAAATTTACTGGTTCACTTACTGATCAAAACCAATCTCGTGATATATTCTTTCGGCATTCGCGTTAGTTGATATGAAAATACTTTTTGTCAAGCCAATCAACCACATAATATTCTTTTGAGAGAGCTGTCCTCGCAGCCAGTTCCAACGACGTGAAATTCTATGACGCCACGCTTCTCTTCACGACGAGCTGCCTCGTCTCGTCCAATGTGTCACCCAGGGTAAAAACCGTGCTGTAAGTACATAGTTTAAACGAAATTGACTTTTTGTTTTGAAATTGACATCTCCGAGACCTTTGTGTAGACCGTAAATATACAGTTGGTATTCAGCCAATAATGAAAACTGCTTAAAGTTTGTCAAATATTTTCACTAAATTCTTGGCAAGCTTCCTTCAGTAAATTAACCTGCACACGCTGGTTTTACTTCTATTTTCAATTTACAACAATTTCATGAAACAACTCTCGTACAACAATCTAAACGATCTCAAAACGCTCTAAGACAGTCTGGATTTATAATAATAATACAGCTCCACACATTTACTTATAGTCCCGGCCCGGTTGTATCAAGGCCATTTATAGCTTAAACGGCGGATAAGTCAAAATTAAATAATACTCTTACATCTCTCTTGAATGGGTCAACTATCCCGTCCAAAAGGAAAATCGGAATTGAAAAGGCAAGTAAATCTTTGGAACTGTTGTAGAATATGATAAACTGACAAATTTGCAAATATAGTAAATTTAAATCCAGTGGCAATATGGCGTTTTACGGCCATGATATCCTAGTTCCATAAATCTTATTAAAATGGAGCTTTCTTTCAACGTAGATGTAAAGGGGATTGAAGATTTATAAATGGCTATTCACAGCCAAACTTCGTTCTACATAAAACACGTGATGTTCAGCTGTTGTTTGCTCTATACACTTGATCGTATTTCTTCGCTTCACTATCCCGTCCAACAGGAAAATCAGAATTTAAAAGGCAAGTAAATCTTTGAAATTGTTGTAGAATAATATAAACTGACAAATTCGCAAATATAGTAAATCTAAATCCAGTGGCAATATGGCGTTTTACTGCCATGATATCCTAGTTCGATAAATCTCATTAAAATGGAGCTTTCTTTCAACCTAAGTGTAAACGGGATTGAAGATTTATAAATGGCTATTCACAGCCAAACTTCGTTCTACATAAAACACATGATTTCAGCTGTTGTTTGCTCTATACACTTCGAATATTCTCATCAAATGTATGACAGTATGATCGTATTTCTTCGCTTTACTATCCCGTCCAACACGAAAATCCGAATTTAAAAGGCAAGTAAATCTTTGGAACTGTTGTAGAATATGATAAACTGACAAATTCGCAAATATAGTAAATTTAAACCCAGTGGCAATATGGCGTTTTACGGCCATGATATCCTAATCCGATAAATCATATTAAAATGGAGCTTTCTTTCAACCTAGGTGTAAAGAGATTGAAGATTTATAACTGGCTATTCACAGCCAAACTTCGTTCTACATAAAACACGTGATGTTCAGCTGTTGTTTGCTGTATACACTTCGAATATTCTCATCAAATGTTCTTCGCTTCACTATCCCGTCCAACAGGAAAATCAGAATTTAAAAGGCAAGTAAATCTTTGAAATTGTTGTTGAATATTATAAACAAATGACAAATTCGCACATATCCTAGTTCGATAAATCTCATTAAAATGGAGCTTTCTTACCAGAGTAATATGTGTATATGAAAGAAAACAACCTGTATTTTTTTCTGTATATTTTTGTGTTATAGATATCACAAAATACATACTGTACTATACAGTATAGACCCTCTGTGATTTATATACAATCATATTTTCAATTGTGTGAAAATGATGTTCTTGTAATCTCCATTGTAGAGCAAAAGCCGCGCGAATCATTTGTTTTATGTTTATCAACTCGAACTGGAACACGCGACTGGAACAAGATGGCTTCCAGCAATGGGAAATAATTTATGTTAAAAATGTAGTGTAAATGTATTTGTGTTCTCTTCATATCATGAAAGGGTAAGTAATTTTTGAAATTGTATGCATAAATTGTTTGTCTTAAGCCTTAATTCCACGGGCTAAATTTTCAAGCAAAATGCGAAATATTTCTCCTGCTTCTTTTGAATTGTGAGCAATGATGCATAAATTAATTGATTCAGCGGTCGAAATTCAAAAGAAACAGGCAAAATATTTCGCATTTCGCCGAGAACAGGCGCCCGTGAAGTTAGGCCCTTAGAGTTAGGCCCTTAGAGTTAATATGTGGTTATCAACATGTTTCATTGTGAATTTTAAAATTTAGAGAATGGCATCGACGATATGCTTATAGAAATGTCCATTGCAATAATCTGTTTAGTAAAACTCTTGAAGGCTGCTGAACGGCGTTTGCATCAGCGCAAATAAAAAAATAAAACAATGCTGGCAGCAGATCATGACGTTTGTTTGCCCCAGCAACCCTTTTGGACTATAATATGGTTGACATCTAATATAGGATTTCTTCATTTGTCACCTACATTCATTGAAATCTACAAAAGCTTTATAAAAACTAATAGCACTATTATAGAGCACCTGTATTATATATATTGTTGGAAGAAACCATGTAATTTTGCACTATATCAGTGATGACATAAGCCTTATATGGGGGGCACCTGTTCCTCAACACACACAGTGCCCCCCTGGCAAAAATCCTGTTTACAGCCTTGGGGCCAGTTGTTCAAAAGGTGCATGGATAAAGTTATCCACTGGATAGTGACCTAATTTTTCAACTGTCGTAAAAAGCTTTGAAAAACAAGAAAGCTACTTATGACCCTTAAAAAGTATTTTAACTTCACAACTGTGAAGTTAAATCTTGGCTACGCCAAGTGGTGAAGATATGCCATATATAATTGCCTGGATTTTGCCCATAATTGCACACTGAAACCTCCCACCAGATTGTTCAAAAACCTTATCTGCTAAACAGTATCATTACCTGCTCAACCAATATCAGCTATTCAACCATCAGTACCAATCTGGATCAGTATTTATATATGCTGAAATAGTTGCAATTATAGCATAGTAAATTCATATACCTGCGTAATATGTTTGTTTCTGTAGGCGAGACCTAAGATCTCTTGCTTCTTTAGCAATGTTGCACCATTTCGCAGAATGTTTCTCGGTGAGCAGTTTTCGTTTGTTACACTCTCTGCGACCTTTGGAGGTAAAGCTTCAGATGCGGTCGAGCGCTTAATTATGGCGCGCTGTTGACGCATTCTTTCTTCGATGACGCATTCGTTCATTTTGGCCTCAAAGTTGGCTTTTTTTCGTGGCTTTTTCACCGGAAGTGACGTACATTGGAGAACAGAGGGACCTGTACATGAAGAAAGAAGGCTGCTTTTATTTTGCAAAACATCCGGACTATCCCAGTGTCAGATTGGAAAGTGAAATAGATAAAGGCACTATATTATTGATCGCGTCGCGTAGCGACAGCGATCTATAGTTTCGGCTTGGTTTTTTTTTTATTTTCCTCTCGGGTCGACCCCCAGCGTCGCTAGCTGCGGGCCATATCACCCTAATCGGGAACCTGCGCACAGGTAAGTTGCTAGTTATATCACGTGTTGTATTCACTTTGGGCATATTTCGTTTCACCTTCGAACTTTGAAGCAGTAAAGTAGAATCAATAAAGCGATCAAAATGCTAGCAAGTGTTATCTTTACACTCATTACACATACAACTAACTGCACACGCCGAGCAGAGTAAGCCTGCACTAAAGGATTTCAAGCAGTTTCGAAATGGGCTGTTTTGTGTTTCTCCTGCTTTCAACATGCGACTATAGTTCGGTATATTGTTCATTTTTATTATTAAGAACATTTACGACACAAAATTTGCATAGCTGGGCTGGCGCTGTGAACGACGCGATCATATAACGCCTAGTAGGCGTCTTGTTACATATAAAGCACGTGTTTTTTTGCCTGTTGATTTCCAAAAGCTGTTTGAAAATATTGACATTTCACCCTATTGTTTCTTCAATTGACGATATTGACGATACGAATTTCTATGTTGATTTGTACTATATTACACTGGTGAAATTTGACTCATGAAATCGCAGGATCGAACTATCTAAATTTTCCCGCAAAATCCGAAAGCAACCATCCTCGTAGTACAATTTTCTTTAAGAATTAACTTAAAGATATTAAAAATTTTATAATAAAAGATAATATGAAACCAGACATTTTTCTCCGATTTTATTTTTCTGTAACTTACCCATTGCAATACCCAGGCTTGTCAAGTAGTTCACGTTGTTCCTGTGGAAAAGGGGACGCCCTTAGAATTGCCAATGATAGTGTAGTGGTATTATAGCATGAACACGCTTAAAAATAGTAGTAATCCAGAAAAGAAGAGGGGTTAGAGACTCTCCTTTCAAAATATATTACAAAATTTCTACTTGTTTTCGTACGAAGAATTTAAAACTGCGGAGTCGGGTACTGTTTTGAGGATTCAAACAAACATCTGATGTTTCTTGATGACATGTGGATTTTGAAGTTCCACTGGTATATCGCTGTAGGATGAAATAAGTTCCGATTAAACTTCCTGCAGTTACACGTAATTGTAAAGATATGAATCCGATCAGCATAAGTATATCGCTCATGCATATATATGTTGAGTTGAGCCTAAATTTAGTGTGTATATTTAATATAGTGAATACCAAACAATATCTGACGATACTGTATACGCCAATGGCAATGGCCGAATAGCCCAATATAAACATCTCTTAGTGGTAGTACCTTGTTGCAGCAAATTATAGTAATGACACGTCTTTGCATGATAACACCTTTGTATGGCACAAATGCCTCTGAAAATAGTCAAGAGAACTTTCATGAACTGTGGGGATTACTACCTTATTTTAAGGGCAAAATATCGCGAGGGTGGTTATACAACCTGTGCACCTATACAGTAAGATAGTAAATTATTCAGTGTATCGACCGTGTAAGAAAATGGGTACATGGTATGTAGAATTTGAGCTACAAGCCTATTTACCAACGGTCAATGAAGTCATTTACACTTGCCTTGGCCGTGTGTGTTTCTTGTTCAAGAACCTGGGGGTGAATGCACAGCTGGTCACCTGATCCTGGCACACATACTTTCGGTCTCAAACAAAAATCAATAGAAAACGTCAATTTCAACAGTTAAATCTTCGTTTCCCGGTTTTGCTGACCTAAACGTGAGAAACACAGGAGTTTCTTGTAAAACATCCGAGGCTCGTATCAATTTTTTTGACGGTCTGTTATCAGGATGTGTTTGACTTGTATGTTTCGATCATAGTTTCATGTCCATAACTTGTTTCATGTCCAGGATGCACGAAATTATTCCTAACTTTTAATTCTAAACCTCACCCTAACCCTGACCTAATTGCTTATACTAAAAGATTTGAATCAAGGATTATATTCGCGGACACTGGACATGAAATTATTACCTATTTCCACCAAATCTGACAGGTTTTCAGCAGATTCGCCAACAAGCTTATTACTATACAAGGTTTTAAACTTGACAAGCCGTCTTAAATGTATGTGTTTAAAGACTTTGGTATTAATACGTCGAAAAAATACAGTAGACACCATACCTTTCTTTGGCAAACGACAAGAAACAGCACGCTTGTTCTCTGCATGGGTTGCGAACGTTTTCATAAAATCCTTCCATTGCCTAAAACAGACCATAAATCCTTTGACAAACCTCAATCAGCTTGTTCATTGCGAGTTATTTAGTTGAACATAACCTCCTGATCAAAATGATCCGTTTTTCGTCCTCGTAAAAACGTACAGATGAACTGTTTAACTATATATTCATTTGTTAAAAAGTCTAGTCTTAAGATTTTGCTGGATGGCAATAGAACTAACCTCTGTAAATTCGTTTTTTCGTCGTGGCTCAACAAAAATAGTTTTTTGTGTCTCAAGTCGGTTCCATAGACCAAAACTCTTACAAAAAAAAGATAATCATTGTGAATTAACGTAACGGACTAGGATATGAAATATCGTTCCTATATCAGTTTTAACAACACACAAAACCCTAACCGATTTAGAATTTCGACCTAAGGAAGCACCATCAAAAGGTCCAGTAAGATTAATCTGTATAAAAATCACATTAGCTGTATTTATACAAGAGACGAACAATTCATCTGGACGAACCTGGGCAAATTTTATATTAAAAGGTAACATGAAACTAGACATTTTCCTACGATTTAATTTTTTTAACTTACCTATTGCAATCCCCATTTTTGTCAAGTAGTTCACGTTGTTCCTGTGGAAAAGGGGACGCCCTTAGAATTGCCACTGATAGTGTAGTGGTATTATTGCATGTACACCGCTTAAAAGTAGTAGTAATCCAGAAACGATGAGGGGTTAGAGACTCTCCTTTCAAAATATATATTAAAAAAATTTCTACCTGTTTTTGTACGAAGAGTTTAGAACTTTTGAGGATTCCAACAAACATCTGATGTTTCTTGATGACATGTAGGTTTTGAAGTTCCACTGGTATATCGCTGTAGCATGAAAAGTTCTGATCAGATTTCCTGGAGCCACACGTAATTGTAAAGATATGAATCCGATCAGCATAACTATAGGGAATAGCCCAACTAGCAGAGAATAGCCTAAAATACGAGTTTCCCAATTAGAATATGAAATCGGTTTGTAATTCCTCAGATTTGTTGTAGAATTATACAGTAGAACTTCTTAAGAGCGTCAAAAAGTAATGAAGAGCCGTTATAGGTTTCCTAAATCAATCACCGTTATTAAAAAATGACTATACAAAAGATCATCTTGTAGCTTAATGCTATGGTGGACGTAATTGATCACCTTTGACGCCACCAGCTGCTTTGCTGGTTGACCAAACATCCAGTTGCTTCCTCTTCCAACCGTCATTCGCTGGCTGTTGAACATGAACCTAAAAAACAAGAAACTTAATTTAGCTACAGCAATACATGAATTGTCTCATTTTTCATTAACTACCTGCCATGCAGAGTTTACTTTTAATACACACAGGTTGAGATGATTGCACCGTAAATGTGCCAGCTTGTTGCACATCTTTCTTTTCGCTCGACCCTAATGCATCGCCGTTCTGAAAAACTACCTGGGATGCTATAATGTGGAAAGATTGGACTAGATTTTATCCGTGAAAATGATTGTTTACGAAAATGATTGTTTACAACAATTACGACACAAAGGAAACCAGGTTAACGACTGCTTGAAAACATGTAGATAAGGGGAGTTACAAGAAAGCTATTACAGCAATAAACGTCAAAAAATATCAACATACGAGCCCTTTCCCCAAATTTCTACCACTAAGTCTTCTATCATGTCAAAGACTACTGTATACATACTTTCAAGGCGTCCGCGAACTGTCTTTGTATTGCACCACCAATTTGATCTACATTGAAGAAGATTTGCTTAAATAATGTATGCATTTCATTTCCCAGTTTTAACAATATTTTGCTGCAATACTGGCATATTGAATCATGCAGAGCTTGCTCCAACTCAATAATCGCCTAAAATCCTTTGCACATCCAAATTTAACAAATGAAATGTTGAAACAAGCTCGGAAACCACTTCATAAACTCACTTGCAACGGACAATGAAATCACTTTCTCGAGTGATTTCGTACTTTGACCAGAAGTTCGAAAATGTAACTGGGTGACAAAAAGACAAAAGACTGCAAAAGTTAAGGCATTTCTAACGAGGCTGCAGTCATATAATGCTTGTTTCAACAATGTTTTCAAATAAATTGTATACTGCACCTGCCGGGATGTGTAATTATTTGGACGATGAAGATGTTACAGTATGCAATTCTTCCTCTAGCTTCAAGACCAAGTCTGGAAAATAAACAAAATTGACCCAATTATAATACGAAATCAGGCTAGCAAATCACGTCAAAAAGAGGAGGCTGGGTATAATAAATGAACTAGCCGTAATCTGATTGGCTTGATAACCGATGCAAATCACTAGCTGTCCGCTGAACTGCGTACAGCTGAGAAGAGGTATACAAAAATATTCCTAGCCACCATTTTAGTATTCCTCAATTTCCATTCGTGGCTTCACCTACTACACGTTTCAGGTATATTTTTATTGATTATATTTACAAGAGGCCCATTTTGATGTGCGGTTTCAATCCTGATATCATGACTGGCAACCGAAAGCTATACATATACCTTTTATGTATGCGATTTCCTGTTTATCCAAATCTCCATCATCTGGTAAACAGAAATACGAGATTTTTAACACAGCTGATTGTACAAAAAGGCGATCAACTATGGTTAGCGGAAAAATTGCTCAATCAGAATCCTCTCTTTAGGGGGTACATTGATATTTCGCAAAAGATTTCTTAATTTACGAAACTTTAAGAAACATACCAGGAAGAAATTCTAACAGTGGTATGACAACATGAGGCGTTGGCGAAAGTTTAGTAAACTTTTCCAAATAGCTATGTTGGGAGCAGTCTAAGGAACGAAAATTTAGAAATTATTGCTCAAAAAATTTTGTATTTGTGAAGGAGTATCTCGCATAACAAGAGACGTTACATTTAGGCTGGAGTTTGTTGAAATACATTTCTGTAAATTCACTGAGTGCATTATCAAGGCACGATTTCAATGCCAGAAACTTAATGCCAGATGATATATTATGATGGAAAAGTTTACCTGTTGTAAGCACACAAGAATAACATTCATTGCCTCGTTGTAAGGCATTGAGACAATCCCGGTTGTCTTATCTTCTGCAGAACTAAAACAAAAGTGAGGATGTATTGAATTTGAATTTTTTTGAATTTAATCATTTTATTACCAAAAAGTAGAGGTAACAGGTGGCTGAACAGAGCATGGCCCCAATTGACATCAGCTACCGGTAAAGCAACCAGAAAGGTGCTGAAATCACCTAACGCTCGCCTGCACTGTTTGTCTAGAATAAGGCTAAACTCTGTATGAAAGGTATCTGTATGAAGCACAAATTACCGATCTTTTTATTACAAATTACAACTTTAACGTTGGACTATGTTTTATATACATAATCATTTATAAACACAATCTCAAAATTTATAATTGTACATGTACAATACAAACAAATGGTAGCATACAGGTGAAAATATTTGAAAGTTTCTCATTTGGCTTAGGGTTGTACAAATACTTTCGTTAAATATAATTCAGCTACAACTTTGAACTAAAAAAAAACAGGGCTACACAATAGCCCTGAAAATCGTAATGAGCGTGATAACTCTGGATAACTCTAACATTGACCTTATCATGATGCTAATAAGCTTAACATTTGCCTTATCATTTGATAATTTTGAGCAAAGCTCTCTTTATTATTGTATAAATGTGTACCAAATGGCACTGAATAGTCACAATGCATATCGATGACTTATATTTATGATGATTCCTCTGATGTAAAGCCATAATATTTAAAAAATATAGCATCTTAACATTGACCTTATCATTATGCTAATTAGCTTAACATTCACCTTATCATTTGAAAATTTTGAAAAAAATTCCCATTATTTTTGTGTAAATGTGTACTAAATGTCACCATATAGTCACAAGACATATCGATGAGCTATATTTATGATGAATCTTCTGATGTAAAGCCATAATATTTAAAAAATATAACATCTTAACATTGACCTTATCATTATGCTAATTAGCTTAACATTCACCTTATCATTTGATAATTTTGAGCAAAACTCTCTTTATTATTGTATAAATGTGTACCAAATGGCACTAAATAGTCACAATGCATATTGATGACTTATATTGATAATGATTCCTCTGATGTAAAGCCAAAGTATACAAAAAATATAGCATTTTAACATTGACCTTATCA